TTCTTAAATTATTATTATAAAACTATTTATTATAATTTTATTAATTATACTTATTTTTATTTTATAAAATATTATAATTTCTTTATCGCTTTAATTAATAAAAATAACTATATAAATAATATTTAATATATATATATTATATAATATTTTTAAAAATATAAATATAAATTTATAATTTTTTTTTTTAAAAGATTAACATATTATATTAATATTATTATTATTATTTTTAATAAAATAATAATTTTATAAATAATAATAATTTTATAATAAAAATTTATAAATATTTTTAAATAATTAATTATAAATTTCTTTTTTAAATAAATTTTTATTATTATTATTTTTTTAAGTTAATTAATAATTATATTTATATTTTTGCAAAATTTGATATTAAATAAAAGGTTTGGTTTTAAATTTTATTTGTATATTTATGCGTTAATTTATATGTAAATTAGTTTTTATTTTTTAAATTTTAGTTTTATAAATATTTTAATTATAAAACAGTTTTTTTTATTATTTTTATTATTTTTATTATTTTATTAATATTTAATATTATTTATAATTTATAAATCTTATAATTTTTAATAAAAAATTTAAACCAATTTATATTTATTATTTTATTTAAAGCTTTAAAATTTATATATATAGTTAATTTTATATTATTATTTATAATATTAATTTTAAAATATAAATATTTTTTTAATTTATTTTATAAATTTTTTTTTAATTTAATATTAATAATTTTAAGATTAAAAAAAATATTATAATATTTTTTATTTATAAAATTACTTATTAAATTCTTATTTAAATCATTTTTTTTTATTTTTTCTTTTAGTATAATTTCTTTTTTTTTATTAATGTTTATTAAATTGTTAAAATTTAATTTAAATAGTTTAAATAAAATGTATTTATTTGCGTATATATATTTAAAATAATTGAAATAAGTATTAAATAATTTGCTATATTTTTTACATATTTTCTTTACAATTTCCATATTATTATTATATTTGGGTAATAAAAAATAGTTTAAATTTATTTTAGATTTATTATTATTATTATATTTTTTTAATAAGAAATAATTTTATTATTTTAATTCTTTTTTTTTTATCTTATAGTTTAATTTATTTTGTTTAAAAAATATTTTATATTTTAAAAAGTTTTTACCGTTTTTATTTTTTTATTTAATTTAATAACGCTAATATTGTTATTTTCCAAATTTTTTAAATTTGTTATAATAGTTTTTTTATTAATTGTAATTATATAAGTTACTTTTATAACCGTTATTATTATTATAACGTTTATTGTTATAATAATTGTTTTGGTTTTTACTGCAATAATATCCTTTGTTATAATAATAACCGTTATTTCGATAATTATTATATCGGTATTTGTTGTTATTACGGTTATTATTTTTTTTAATTTTGCTTTTATTATTATTTTTACGGTTATTTTTACATTTAAATTGTTAAAATATATTGTTGTTATTATTATTATTATTAATTTTAAATATATTATTTGTTAATAATTTTTTTGCGTTATTATTAATTTTTAAATTTTTAATATAATTATTTAATATTATTTTAAATTTAACTTTTTTACTTTTATTAATTATATTGTTTTTTTATTTATTAGTTTATTTAACGATATGTTTAATATATTTGTCGATATTAATATAGTTAAATAAATTAAATATTATATATTAAAAATTGGAATTAAGATTATGATATAATTGTTTTATTTATTAAATTTTATTGTTTATTTAAAATGTTTAATAAATTTATATAAATTTTATAGTTTAATTTTAAATTAATATTTTATTAAAAGCATTTTATACAATATATTTTAATATTTGTAATATTTTTTATATTTTGTTAAAAGTTATTTTAAATTTATTAAAAAATTTGTTTAAAGTATATTTATTATTTATAAACATTACGTTTTAGTTAATTTGCAAAAGTATTTTAATATATTAATTTTAGGTTTTTCTTTAATATAATTTATATATATAATTAATAATAGTTTTTTTATAAGTTTTATTTATTTTTACTTATTACATTACATTAATAAATAGGTTTATATTATAAAAAGTAATATTTTTTCCAATAATAATTATATTTTTTATTTTATATAATTTATTTAAATTAAAGTAAAATACTTTTATATTTTTTATTTTAAAACTATTTAATTAAAATTTTTATTTAATTATAACTCGTTATTTACGTTAATTATTACATATTTTTATAAAAGATTTATTAATTATAATTGGTATTAAATTAAAGTTTATTTAAAATATAATAACTTATTTAACGATTTATTATTATCTTTTTTCGTTAACGTTTAATAATGTTAATAAAGTAAATGGTTAGTTTTAACTTTTGCCATTATTACCGTTTAATCTTATATTCCCCATTATATCGTATATAAATAAAAACGGTAATATAATTAGTAAATTATAATGTAATAAAATTAATAAGTTAATTTAATTTAATTAATTTAGTTATAATAATAATTGAAAAGATTAATTTTTATTAAATATTATGGTTTTTTAATTAAATGTTTTTTAACAATACGTTTAATATAATTGTTATGTTTTGGTTTTTGGTAAAGTTAAAGGTTTTGATAAAATTTTATTTTATAAATTTTATAATAATTATTATTTTTAAATTTATATTTGTTTAATTAATTTTAATAATATATTTATTAATATCAATTAGTTTATAAGTTATAATATTTGTAATATATAAGATTATTTATTAATGTTATTAAATGATTTATTTAGTAAAAATATATTATATATATATATTATAAATAATGTTAAATTATTAATTAATACCGTAACAAAGTTAATAATTAATAATGTAAAAAATGTTATTATTATTAATAAAAGTTTAACAATTGGTTTAATATTTTTTTTGTTGTTATTTTAAAAAATTGTTATAAATATAAATTTAATTAATAATGTTATTATTTAAAGTAATATTTATATTAAAATCGGTAATTATTATATTAATATATATAATTTTAAAAGTTTTTATAATTAAAAGTTATTTTTTAATTAATATTTAAAGTTAAGTAAAATTGTTTATAATTTTACCGGTATTAATTTAATAACTTAAAATTATATTTATAAATTAATTAAGTTTTATAAAAGTTAAAATATTTTTATAAAAGATAATAAAATTGTTTTTAATGGGGATATGATTTTGGTTAATTATATTAAGATTTTTGGTATTAATAATAAGATTTTTAATAATAACAATAAGATTTTTAATATTAATTATAAGATTTTTATTAACGGTAATGGTATTATTAATGGTGTTAAAACTTTTGGTAATAATAATAATGTTTTAATTAATAATATAATCGGTTTATTTGTTAATATTAATATTATGTTTAATATATAATTTTATATAAAATTAAATGTTTTACAAAACTTATATAAATTGATAATTTATTTAAGATTATAATTTTTTAAAAGTTTAATAAAATTTTATATTTAACAACTTTATGAAAATTGTTAAAAATATTATTATTTAAAATATTAAAGGTTTTTTACGTATAAAAAAATTTATTATATATTATTTTATAATAATTTTTGTATTGTTAAAAAAGATAAATTTTCTTTTAAAAAAGTTGTTATTTTAAAAACGTTATTTATATTTTTATTTATTCTTTAGTTAAAGTATAAGGTAATTAAAATAAGATTTATGTAAAAAATATTTAAAATCTTTAAAAAAGTTACTTAAAATCTTTGGGAAAATATGGTATATTTTCTTAATTTAATTAAAAAGTTAATTTAAAAGTTAATTTAATTAAAATAAAAAAACTGTATAAAAAAAGTAAAAATAATATAAAAATAAATTAATTTTAATTTTAATTAAAAATTTAATTAAAAATAATTAATAATTATATAAATATAAGTTGTAAAATTTAAAAGTATTAAAAAATTTGAAAATATTGTTTAATAAATGATTATATTATATTTTATTATTTTTTAATTATTTAATAAAATTATAATATATTTTTAATAATATTAAAATATTATATAAAAGTTTTAACATTAATAATATAATTTTTAAAAAAGTAAGTTTAATAGTTTTTTATGTTTTAACCGTTATAATAAACAAATTTAAAAAATAATAAAAGAAAAAATAAAAAAATGATATAATATTTTTTATTAAATGTAAAGTATTATATTAATGGTTTAAAAACTATTCGTTAAAATGGAATTATTAATTGTAAAATCTTATTTAATTTAAAATTTAATAAATTAAAAAAAAAAAAAAAAAATCTTTTTTATGGGTTATTTTAATGATGTAATTAACGTATAAATAAAATAAATATAGTAATTTATTTAATAATTTATATAAATTATTATAATAATAATATTTATTAAAAATATATTATAAACTTTAAATCATTAAAATTAAAGTTATTTTATACGTTATTATAATATATTAAATTATTGTAAATATAATGTTTAATTTTTTTATTATTAATAAAACCGTTAAAGACCCTTGCAATATAATACAGCCTTAAACCAGATATTTTCGAATGCTTTGCCCGTAACCCACAGGTACAAACACACGGACCACGCGTTGCGTGGCGCCTGTGGCAAAGCAGGCGGGCGAAACCCGCCTCGAAAATATCGGGTCTAAGGTCACCTGAGATAACATTTAAGAGCAGGTGATACTAAATCTGACAAGCTTCCGGACATGATCGATAGAATAATTCTTAGAAGTTATATGCATTTTCCCATGTGGCATGTTTCAGGGTCGTAGCAAGATTAACCAAGCCGGTTTCAAACTTACAGTACATACGTACCTCATCGCTTCGGTACATCTCCATAAATCTAGTTTAAAGTTTGTTTTAACCCTTCAATTCAACCAATCATATTCCATGTGCTACCAGATTCGACAGGAGGATCCTTGTTCGGACTCCTACCTGCATGTACGAAGTACATATGTAGACCCCTATTAATATCTGAGGACGGCCGATGAAGCGGGAAACGGGGCTGAGCTGAATTGAATTTAGTAAATCGGATTCATGTCCCGCTTCTTTACAGCACAGCGCGACCCCTAAACCATCCGTTATGGGAAGGTATCGGACTCAAATCTGGACTATCCCTGACGATCTATCCGAAGCGTAGCAAAAATATGAAAATTGTGTGCCCGAACATATTTTCGTCTCAACATGAAGAGCGAAGGGACCAATTGGCTCTTGAATTCTCCCCTTTCGGCTGTATGCCGTGGCAATGCCTTGGGGGGATAACACGAATTGAAGCCGGGTGTGGAATAGAACAGCCTGAGATCTGGATACCGAACACCTCGTACTAGGCTTTAATATGTAAGTAATACTTACTAAGTATTTCCAACGATGGATCTGATACGAGAATACACCACGTATGTTAGCGTTCTATCCGACATTTACTCTCCCCAGTTTCAGGTGGGCCATGGGACCAGACCGCTATCCTAGGTATATTAAGATTACCCGTAGAAATAGACCCCTTAAGCTGGTCGCCATATAGATACCGTTCCCCAGATTCTACAACGGCTACGCCCATCTCTTTTTGCCCTGAAAAAAGAGAAATATACACTCGCTGAATAGAACGATATCCGAATTTAATCGTTAACTGCGATCAAAATCGACCATGAAGTTCACACTACCGTTCGAGCTTGGTATGCTTGCCTCGAGCATATTCGCCTCAAATACGACCACCGTATCTCCGTCCGTCTACATACTAAGCACGTCGCCGCCTGCAACAGTCGCTCTCAGTAAAGCCTTGGACACATTAGGATATAGTCGTTTAGACCTCGAATCAGACATACTGAACCAGGCGACGCTATTAAACACCTATGTCGAAGTAACGTCGAACATGCAGCTGGCAGAGATCGCTCGATCACAACCCGACGCCAAGTTCATATTACCCCGAGGCAGTCGACGTATAGGGGAAGAAGATTACGTGCTTTCAGCTCGGAATTTCTTCTCCAAGGAGAAGCGCTCTCGCAAATTTTTAGAGCTGGATGTGCTTGCGCTGAAGGCGAGTTCGCAGGCGGAGAACTGGGTCCAGCTGTGCGACTTCTTAGGCATGGGATACAGCGTGGTGGAACGACTAGGCTTATGGCACTTCCCGAAATAAAGGCCACGGTCTATACCTACCTACATAAAAGGAAGAAGCTCTAAAAACGATAGATTGTAGAGTCGACTATAAACGTCGCTCCAATATTCGGGCACCTATATATCAGGTCTGAACGTATGAGTCGTTTAAAAATGGCGAGGGGGCGAGGGAAACGCGATGATTACGAGTAGACGGGAGGATAGGCGCGAGATGGAGACATTTTGCGACTCTACTGCAAGAAGAGGAAGAAAGAATAACACCACGCTAGCCAGCATTGATCTAGCAGGTGGCTTATACCGAATGAGCAGCAGTACATGCTCCGGGCTTTAGAGTTTATTAGTATTGAATATATTGAATAGGTACTCACAAGACTATTTTAGATACCATGTACTATTGAGAGTCGGGAATCCAGCTGTGTTCTAATGATTGAGTATGGTCATCATTACGAGCATATTACTGGCGATGAATATTTTAAACGGTTGTCTAAGTGCCCTCTTATATCTGTTTAAATCTATAGTTGAAGCTATTGACTGATACAACTGCACGTGTATAACGCTACTGGATTTACTACGTCATATATGTATTTATAGTCGGTGTCTCAACGGGGAATTGGATAGAAGGTACGGGCGAGGAAAGTACGGTGACACTACTAAATAAAGGCTATTTAGACCCGAGTCTTAGACTTAACCTAGGACATTACAACTTTACAACTACAACCATAACTTCTAATCGAAATTTTCATCTCTAGCATGTTTGTTTTCTCTTCCTACAAGGACTATCACGGTGGGGAAACGGATGTTTTCCGTATACATACCTCTCAGTAAATGCATAAAGAGCATAATATTCTGACAGACAGTGAGAATATTGATAGAAATCTTCATTTAATAACTTCAACATATAAAAACCTTGCAAGATGCGGTAGAGATGAACTTAACCCAAAAATGTCATCCTCGTCCCGGAGATATCACCACAAGAGCCGGGCCGGATGTACCACATGCAAAGCCAAAAAGGTAAAATGCAACGAGAAGCAACCGTGCTCCTACTGCGCCAAGAGACAACTTCCGTGTAGCTTAGTGCCAGCGTCGTTACCCGGGAGTAGTAGACCGGACTCAAATACGCCGGAAGTGGTCGTCCGGTCTTACGAGGAGCCGTCGTTCACCTTTACCGACTTCGGTCTATATCAACACTTTATCAAGTCTACGTCTATCGCGCAGGCCGATGATAGCGCTTCGATAGCAGTCTGGCGAGAGTTTATTCCTGATCTCGCGACGCGGCATCCTTATCTTCTTCATGAGATCCTCGCGGTCGCGGCGCTGCACCTCCGATCTGCTACTCCGGAACACGCGAAATTTCTAGAGCGCGTAGCTACCGAGCATCAGGCTAGAGCTATTCCCCTATTTCGGGAGGCCCTGGCTGCTAGTTCGGCGGAGACGGCCCTCCCGCTGTTTGCTTGCTCGTGCTTGTTTATACCGTACCACTTCGCTGCCGCAAAGGACGCCTTGTCACTACTTTTCAATGAGGAGACCGGGTCTCTAGCCGAATGGCTGGTTTTAATCCATGGAACTGCGGCGGTCACCGTGGAGCACGGTCCTACTATTATGAAATCCCCTCTACGTGTGCTTCTGGGAGATCTATCCACACCTAAACCCGAAGAACTGAGTGATGGGCCTACAGACGCGAGGCTTCTCGGTTTGGGCGAGGAACTCCCTATCGCGCCCGAGCATAAAGAAGCATACGCGCAGGTCATGTACAAGCTTCGTCTGAGTTTCTACCTGTCAGATCAAGCGGACACGGCGCTTAATCGGAAGAATGCTGCTCTTAGGTTCCCGCCTTTTATGAATCAGCAGCGGATTGGGGATGATCTCGCTGCAAGAAATCCGGCGGCGCTTATCATAATGGCTTTCTGGTGTGTTTTGCTGCACCGGGTGGAGGATAGGTGGTGGCTTAAGGAAAGGGTCAAACCGCTGCTAATAAAGATTGAGGAGTTGGTACCGCCGGAGTATAGATATCTTATGACTTGGCCTATGGAGGAAGTGGGAATTTACTCGAAATCTAATACGGAGGTTTTGGTTGCAAGGTAAGTGATAAGATAGATGTAGATGGATAATTTGAATATTAAAAGGTATAGAAGTTTAATGCAAACGATGGGCAACTGCTCTGCTCTTGCTGAGAGATAGATAGGTACCTAGGTACGTATACCGTATTTTCTTATGTCATTCAGACTGTCAGACTGTGCTACTAGTTAAATTTAGCAGCTATCACAACCAAGAAGAGAATAGTCCCACAGTGTGGCAAAACTAGTTGTTTTCATGATATTCCGTATATTACTTTACCGCCATTAAAGGGGTATAAGGAACGATATATATACAGTATATATATTATTTAAAAAATTAAACCGTTTTAATTTATAAAAGGAAAAGTTTTAATTATAATTTTTAAACGTTAAGTTTAATTAAATAGTTTAAAAAATTATAAACGTATTAAAAAAAAAACGTTAAATTAAAATAAACCGTTTATATAATAAATTATGTTTATATTATATAAATACGGTTTATTATAATTAAACGGTTTAAAAATTTAAACGGTTTAAAATTTTAAACCGTTTATATAATATATAAATATATATAACAAAAAAAAGGTATAATATTATATTAATTATATAATATTATATTTTTATTTTTTATTTATTTTTATTTATTATATATTTATTTTTTATTTAAATGTTATAGTTATAAAATTATAAAAATTTTTTTTTTTAATTAATTAAATTACGGGCATTATTTAAATAAACCAATTAATATAAACAGTTACGTTATACGCACGTATATAACATTTTTAATATAATATATATGTATATAATAAAACAAGTGCGTACATTTACACCATTTATACCGCACATATTACACATTAAACAAAGCCACATATAAAGTTACATATAAAGCCACGCATATTAAATCAATTAAATCTATTTAATTAAATTTATTCAATTATATTTAATTAATTAAATTTAATTAATTACGTTTAATCGATTACGTTTAATTAATTACGTTTAATTAATTACGTTTAATTAATTTCGTTTAATTAATTAATTTATTTATATGTAAATTACGTTATACGTATACGGCTTAAATTTTTAAACGGTTTAATTTTTTAAACGGTTTATTTTAATTAAACGGTATTTATACCGTTTATTAAATTAAACGGTATAAATATAATTTAAATATATATACGTTTTAAAAAATTAACACGTGTAATAAAAAAACCGTATATATACTATTTAATTAAATAAATCGTTTAATAAAAAATATGTAAATAAATCTAAGCTTTTATTACATTAAACAGTATATGTACGGCTTAAAATATTAAGCTAAATATATACCGTTTAGCTAACCCCTAGCAAGACGCTAAGGTAACCTTTAATTCACTCACTCAAGTGTCGTCAATCCCTGTGATTAAACCGATTAAACCTTCAATGACTTAATCTTTACAACTCCAACCTGTCTAGGTATTTGGTATTTTCCAAAGTCCACACTCATATCTCATTGTACAACACCAAACGACTAAGCCTTGGTTGCTCTTTATTTTTCATAACCCCAAACCCTAGTAATCTGTGAAATCAAAACCTAGGTTAGGTACTTAGTTCAGCAGTACATCCACCACTCAGCTCATCGCTTATAAGAGAAAAGGATCACGAATCACTAGACCAGAGGCAAAGATCTTAATAAGATCATCTACCTCTGTCAAAATGGCCTTACCAAGCCCAGAGACCCAAGCAAAAGTAGCCAGCGAAGGTACCTAATCTATCTAACCCAGCCCTCTCACCTCTTCACCCCATCCCATCCCATCTCATCTCATCTCATCTCATCTCATCTCACAACCCCCCCATACTAACCCCCCCCCCCAGCCGCCCAATCCTTCATAGAACACTTCTACGAATCCCTCAGCAAGCGACGCCCCCTCGGCCAATTCTACGCCTCAACCTCCGCCCGCCTAACCGCCGCGGGCGTCAACCCCGACATCAGCATAAACGGGCTCTTCGTCCCCGACGTATCCGCCTACGAGGCCTTGCTAGAAACGCAAGGCGGCCCCGTATTCTACGACATCGCGTCCTTCGACGCGCACCCCGTGAACCCGTGCTTCCGGATCGGCGAGCCGGAACCAGCCGGCGCGGGCGCGGGAGCGGGAGCAGCCCGCGACGCTACTGCCGCTGCGGCCGTGCGGAACGGCGATAGGCTGAGCTTCGCGGTCCAGGTTACTGGCGTGGTGAGGTATGGGCGGGGGCACGGGGATGGGAAGGCCGGGGATGCGGTGGCTGTGGGGGGAGGGGGAGGGGGAGGGGGAGGAGTTGGAGGAGGGGATAATAGCGGCAAGGACGACAACGAGCCCCTCGAGAAGCCGTTTAACGAGGCGTTTCTGCTGGTGCCGCATTGGGAGGCTTGGGGGAGGAATGCGTCGCGCGGGCTGAGGAAGTGGGTTATTGTTAGTCAGAACTTTCGCGCTCTGTGAGGGGGATTGTGAGGGGGACTGGATGAGGGAGGGAGGGATGAAGCAAACTCGTAAAGGGTGCGAGCAAACGGAACGGAGAAAAGCTATGGGTTGGTTTCTACTAACGCTCTTGTTTGTTACGGTGGATGGGGCGGCTTCTGTAAGGATCGTGGACGATAGACATACATACATGCATACATCCCAGTGAATGAGACATGAGAACATAGATCTAGATGAGGCTTTCTGGTGCACCGCCAATTACATACAGCTTTACCTACTATGGATTTCGGCTCGGGAATATGACGAATCCATGAGACTACAACTTAGCTACCCAAGAATCATAAGGCAGTTAAAAGAAAGAGAATAAATAAAAAAAGGCAGCATATATTTACAAGAAACCCCAGACGAAAAGAACCAGAAGCGGTGTCAAGATCATAGAAGAGGAGAGGACATGGTTGATTCCGAAGAAAGACAGAAAAGGGGATATATATATGCCAAAACTTATCTCAAAACAAGTCTAGCACTAACAACTCTTAAACCCCATCACAACTCGTAAAAACTCGTAAAATCAACGTCTTCATTCATAGATTTAAATGCATCGCAACGACCTTACCTAAGTAGGTACCTTAGATAGTACCAACTCCAGGATAACTCTACCTACTCTAAGGATATTATTCATCACACCCACCCTCCCACTCCCACTCCCCTCCCCTCTCCTCTCTACCCATCGCCCTCTCCCAATCCTCGTGAAGCTTTACCACCCTCTCCCACAGCGAAGCTACAGGCTGACCATGCTCTCTCTAACGCTGGTCCTCCTTTAATAACTTCCGCCTGTACTCCCAGTACCCGCGACGAATGCGATCCCACTTATCGCCCAGCCGTCTAAGCACCAAATCCGCTCTTTCCAGCTCCCCTGCCTCCTTATATATATCTGCCAGCAAGTCCAAGGCATGCGAACTCCGAACCTCCTCTCCTTCCGGATCGCCCAGCTTCGTAACATACTGCTCTGTAAACCCCCCCACGGTCGCTAACTTCCGGCCTCCCTTGACCAGCATGCCGCGGAGGTAATTCCAGGGGCTCTGATTCTGCGGCGCGAGCTCGATCTTCTGCTGAGCGTACTCGATTTCGCGGTCGACGACGTGATCCGGTATCTTCGGGTCGTGCTCCGTGGCGTGCGAGTCAGGCGTCGCGTACGCCGGGTCCGAGAACACGACGAAAAAGCGGTGCGACCAGGCCGAGTTGTTCCGCACGTCCTCGTGGATCAGAGTCTCTATGCTCTGCCGCTCGGCGTCGCCCCACATTCCCAGCTTGCGCACTATATACTGCCGGTAGCTCCACACGTGGTAGTTCTTCGTATCCAGCTGAAGCATCTTCTCTAGGAACTTCCGCTCGCTGTTGGCTAGGTCGGCTACCTCCGAGGGCACCGTCACGATCGCCGGGTAGTAGTGTTCCATCAGCTGTTGCCGGTGGTTCCAAATCTGGTAGTTCTTGATGTGTGCGAGTGAGACTTCGTTGAGCCAGTCGATTTCGTCTAGGATTGATATGTTTAGAGCCTGTACAATAGAGAACCGGTATAGCCAGACGGTATAGTGTGCCGGGTTTAAGGATATGATGCGCTCGGTTAGCCTGAGGCATCGCGGTGAGTACTCTTTCGCTGCCATAACGGCACGGAGGTAGGACATAGCTAGGAAACCGTCAGTATATATATATATAGGTATATAATCCAAGTATATCCTAGCAAAGCCGCGTTTATACAAACATACCCTCTGAATATTCATCCGGATACGCGATAGCGGCAAGCGCTCCCTCGGGCTCGATCTGGGGTATCGGTACGACGTCATCCCACTCCGGATCCAGCTCGTACGGATTCATCTTGAAGCCGTACAGGTCGTGCTGTAATTGTGACATCTCTTTCCGCCTAGCTATTTCAGCTTCTACGTCCTCTTCGGTGCAGGTGTATATCTTCTCGTTGTCAGGTTTGCTTTCGTCGGCCTTCGCGCGCTTGACCTTAAAGGCCGAGCTTTCGTCCAGAAGCAACAGAAGCTTAACCTCCTTCGCCTCGCGGGCCTCGTACTCCTCAACGGTGTAATCGCCGACGTCACGGCCGTTCTTGTCGCGACCCCACTGGTGATCGCGCGGCCGGGGTAAGCTGCGTAGGGGGACGTTGGCTTCGTTTAACTGCTTCCACAGTTCTTTTTGGGCTTTGTTGGAGAGGGTCTTGGCAGCGCCCGGTTTTAGATATTCTTGGTTGAGGTAGGCTTGTCGATCAGCTGGGGTCATGCCATGAAGACCAAGCTCTTCGAAGGACTTTTGGTAGGGATTCGTCTCGTAGTACCACTGCCACTCGAGCTCTCTAATGGTCTGCGGTTGTTTCGGAGATTCTTGCTTTGCTGCTAACCGATCTTCTTATTAGCAAACTTTCTAACACATACCGAATAAGAATAAGAATAAATGAGAATAATGTACGTTCGGGTGCTTTGGCTTTAGCACCTCCTTTGTTCTTTGGAGGCATGGCTGCGATATTGTGTGGATGGTGGGATGGTGGGGTTCAGATAAATCTGATAAATACCTAGGCACCTTAATTGGGATCTCGGGAATAAAGGGATAAAGGGCTGATGACAATAAAATTCCACTAGTTATGGATCTGCATTATAGAGGGATGGGGGGGCAAGCACAACCACCTTCAAAACATTGAACCTGCCTCATATTCTTTTTTTTTTTTTTTTTTTTTTTAAAGAGACAGGCTATGGTGGACCATTAGTGCAACTGTGCCAAAATCAAGAAAATTAGTTGCACTATGTCTAATAAGGTAATAGTAACATTAGATGTACAGTATAGGCTTGACTATTTGCGCTGTATATTTTTTTTAGCCAATAAAATTGAGCATTAATATCCGGACTACCCAATTGCCTTATATATACAATATACAACACATTCAAATAACTTTACGAAAACAACAATCTAAACGTTACAATTGGTATCATTTTATAGCCGTAATTGATGCGAAAATAATGATTCAAGTTGCATTTAAATCGGCCTCTTGGCTGTTATGTTGTAGTAGAATCAAATAGCGCTTGTCTGGAGAGGCAAGCACGTGATACCCTTTAAAAGCACCTCGATAAAGTCATTCCAAACAGACTCCAGATACTTTAATAGCAATATAATACTCAATACACATCGCATAAACATGCAGTTTGGTCCATTATTTTCGCATCAATTACGGCTATAAAATAATACCAATTGTAACGTTTAAATTGTTGTTTTCGTAAAGTTATTTAAATGTATTGTATGTTGTGTATATAAGGCAATTGAAGATTGAATTAATAATGTAATCTTTTAATTTGATTAGCTAATGTTGGAGATTAGTGGGGAGGATAGCCCGGATATTATTATTTTGTATATAGCGTACTGTGCACTTATTATATTACCTTATTAGACATAGCGTAACCAATTTTCTTGATTTTGGCACAGTTGAACTAATGGTCCACCATACAGGCGCATCTGGCCAATGATTACCTGTCTTATTAATATTTAAACTTAAAATATCGCTCTAGTAAATCCCCTAAGCCCATCCCTACAATCCTTAGGTACCTACATTTTCCATATAGGTATAAACCGTGACCGAGCCACTCATTCCCTTTCATCGATTTCGTTTCTATCGATGCTTCTCTATAAATATTATTATACCAGATATAACCGGAATGAGAGCCCCGAATACACCGTTAGTATACCGCATTCCATACTCCTACGATCCATAGAACCAACTATTTCCCCAAAGCCGAAGCCGAAGCCGCCTCCCACTCTCACATAATCTCATCATTGGCTCTCGACCCTCCAGAATTTCCAGCCTTCCCTCTCAGCTCCGTCTAAACCACCAGACACTCCAACCAACTTCTCCACGCCATCATTGCCCGGTGCATTCAGGAAACCTTCAAGATCAATCTCCATGCCGCCCTCCTCATCTTCGTCCAGGCCGTTCTTCAAAACCGCTGGCCATAATACGCCGACACCGTCTCCACCAAGAGTCGTCCTGAATGTTTGGTATCCCTCCATATCGAGTTTGCGCTGCAGCTTATCCAGCTTTTCTTGAGGGATATCCGGCTTCATTAACGATATCGAACAACCACCACCGCCCGCACCAGTAAGCTTCGACCATCCGAACCCTTCGCAGTCGACTAGTTCTCGTATTCGTTCGAGGCGAGGATGCGAAACGCCCAAAGACGAAAGTAAGCCATGGTTGATTGTCATCAACTCTCCTACGCGCCGTAGACTCTCCGTTTCCTCGTTGTCAAAATATTCCTCTTCAATTAAACTCTCTGCACTTCTGGTGACCTTGTCTATCGCATCCAAAATTGTTCCCACCAGCTCCTGGTGCGTACTCCTTAATTTCGCAACCTTGGCCACTTCAACAGCCGTAGACTTTGGTGTTCTAGTGTTCACTAGGAGTAATGGCAATTCGGGAAAGTCCCATAGCGGCGTCACCGTTGGTGGCTTCTTATAGTCCGTCCGCTGGTACACCACCGCCTTGCCATGCGTAGAAACCGTATTATCAACACCAGAAGGGTTGCCATGTATGCACATCTCGGCCACGAAGGCCCATCTGTTAATCCTCTCCACTTGTAAACGAGCTTCCTCAGGTGGTTGGTCGGGATGCGGGCCGGATAGTGTACGAATCTGTAACAGCATAGCAGCAGCTAAACAGACACCAATCGACGCGCTACTTCCAACACCAGCCCCAATCGGTATTGTCGAACGAAGGGTATACCTGCAGCTTGGAGACTTTGGCGATCCCAGTGACAGGTACAAGTATAGAAACGAGGCGGCGGAATTTTGGTGTATTTTTCGTTCGGCTTCCGACTTCCCTAACGAGATGTCTACAAGGTGCGGTTGAATGGCTTTTACGAGATCGGGGTCAAGAGATGTGACAAGGTCGTAGTAGTACTTTTTCTTAGAAGGCTGTTGAAATATGTCCCAAGGCAATTCGTCGATATTCCACGTATGGATAAGGTCGATGTCGGGGAATTGCATGGTTACTGTGCGTTTCGATTTGGAGAGATGCGTCACTAGGAGATAGGAGCGGAGCGAGACCGAGGCAGCGATAGCGGCCTATATATCTGGTGAACTTGTGCGCAAAGAAGTAATTAATTACTGAGAAAGCAGGTTATATCATACCTTGCCATAGACTACAGCATGTTCGCCAAAGACGATGACCTTGCCGGGAGCTGAAACCATAAAGGACGGCATCATAGGGCTGGAGAGCTTGCGACTCATTCGCTTTTTCTTCTTGTCGCTCTCGTCTAACGCAGATCGCCCATTTATACCGTTCGTACCATTCCCATTGCCGTTTATATGGAGCGTTTCAATCTCCTTATGGAAACCATTGATGCCGTTGGACATTTCCGAGGTTGCGCTGCCAAGGGTTGTTGGAGTAAAATTCATATGGAATCGTTTGGTTAATAGAATATCTTCTAAGGTCCTCCCTAAGCTCTTACGCTATGCGACTACTTTTGCTGCAGAATTCCGTGTGGAACGATATGTAGCTAGCTCCCAACAAGGACAGAACCCCACGTCAGTTAGTTAATATATGCCAGATACCGACAAGTGGCGTAAAAGGTATAAGCAGCACCGAATTGCAAGCGTCTAGAATTAAACGAGCAGGAAAGGAAAAGAATGAATGATTTAGGTTCGAATCGTGCGATGTAGGAATGAGATGATACTGGTATCGATTATTAAATAAAAATACGTAGTAGAGGTAGTAGAGGTAGGTAGTAGTATTAGTCGTAATCTCGGTAAGGCTCTTCCTAGGTAATTATGTTTGGTTATGTCGCATTATGTTGCTTATTATGCTCCCTATGCTACCGCGAGTGAATGCGATCACACCTCTTTCTTTTCAGTAAGCCACATTTACTGCAAGTCGATATGACTGATTTATAGAGTTGAACGGAGCTGCAGAGTTGACAAGAATCGGTGTAGGAATCCGAGATGAGATATACTGCAGTGTTGGACATCAACGTAAGGTATGCAAGTGGGCGCAAAGCTGCAGAGCTGGCAAGCAAGGGGGAAATTTTCCCACCCCTTTTTGTTGATGAGAGGGACGAGTCAAAGCTCCTAGTCAAAGCTCCACTATCCCAATCTGTCCTAATTTGATATGGATGTATCCGTGCACCTGACCAGGGTACCGATAGCAACCCAGGCGCCGCTGCAATGGGAATCAGTGGGAACCACGACGTAGCCATTTTAAGCCGAACCAGTCACGATGAACCAATTAGAACACAGCAGGAAGAATTGGCTGCTGTCTCACCCTTGGCAAAAAGTCCCCAGAGGAAATATCCCTGTTCGGCCACGCCTTCCGACTCGGACGACTCGGACCTTGCCCAACAGGTATTGCCGATACCTAATTGCCGAATTGGCTAATGTACCTACCTAAGGTATGTGCAGGTATAAAGGTACGGGAAGGTCAATGAGTGTCTACCAGCACAGTCTAACAATAGTCAACTTAAAGTTTGCAACACCAACATTAACCTCGAATTATCTCATCTTCGTTTGGATGATACGAGGTAACTGACAATTAAATTATACTTAGGACCGCTTCCGATAAAACAGTTGCAGACTCAAACGTGACATTCTCATGAGATCAAGATAATATATTTCAACGGGACAAATCTGCAAGCCAACCAAGCCAACCAAGCCTATCTTCACATGGCGTCCTGTAAAAGGTAACATATCCCATAAAAGTTGCAACACTACAAAGAGACCCCGCCATCAGAGTCGGAATCGGAGTCAAACTCACCCATAGCCTCACCTTGAGGCTCGCAGGTCGACGAATTATCGTTGTCGAGGGAGGAGCTGCTCCATTCTTCGGCAATATACGATTGTGTATCTGTAACGGGAATGACATCGGGCGTGGTAGAGTCTACGCATATTAGTTTATTAGTTCCTCGCAATAGACTCGCGGGTGAATAAATAGTGAGACATACCATAACTCGAACTTGTTAACTGTCTTTCGAGAGGGTTCTCTCCAAGGTATACTTTCTCCGCAGGAAGTGCCACAGTTGAAATAGTAATCCCCGTCAGCGAATCGGGGTGCCATTTGAGCGGCCCTGCTTTCTGTATGATCTGCGCCAGGGCATCTTTCCTGATCGTTTCCAGCATCTTATTCATCAGGTCTCGCTGCATATTATAGCTCGGACTTTTAGAACCCTCGGGCAACGCCGGTACTCCCCAGTTCAGATATATCTTCTGATGCGAGTCCGGTTCCACGGGTCTAGATTTGTGGTGCCGGAAGTAGAGGTGGCAGCAGTAACATGCCGGCTTGCTGCATCCAATATAGTGGTCGTTATCAACGTAACGGAGTTGGTTCGCACAGAAATGTTCTAGAATCTGAACCTCAGCATGGACGCGCGGCTGGAAGTTTTTATTGTCATATTCTCCGCGGATTCGTTTTGTGATTTGAAACTTATGATCCAGAGACATTAGAGCCTCAATATATTCTTCCAACTTTGGGTCATTGTCCGGTAACATCCGCTTGAGGATACTGTGAAGCTCGGTAAGAGAGTCGGCCTGGGGTCGTGGGTTACTCGGTGGTGGGTTAACCAAGCGAATCCTGTACGCATCGAACAGGTGACCCAATTCAAGTGAATCTTCGATGACTTTCTTTGGTGCTCGGACATGATCAGCCAATCGCCCCAGACGATGGCGTACTGTTGCGAAAAGAGACTCGTATTTGCTGAGATCGATGTTTCCATTACCGGAGTAAGTTTTACCCTCTAGCGAACGAAACTCCGGTGTCTTTCGTTGATCATAGGCTTGGAAGCAAACATCAGCCACAGGCTTCCCTTTGTCCGGAATGAATTGCTGTAGCCATTTGGCTAATTGGGAATCTGCAAAACTCAGCGTGAATATGTAGCTTGATTTGAGCAGTTAGAACTAACCTGGTACTAACCTGGTACGAGATTTTCCTTGCTGATATATTCTTCGCACTCCTTTATCGCTCTTGAAAGCAACTTGACCTCCTTCTTCACTCTCTGTTGAGCAAAATCTATACATTTGCGAACGAATTCAACTTCAAGGAGACCCCTTTCCTCTTCTTTAAGCATAATGATGTGATATATTTTTGCTAGGGATGATTGTAGGAATCCCAGGTTTTTGTTGCTCGCGCGAGCTGTGTTCGAAGCAATCCAGAAGACGTAGCATTCGGCGTTATCCTCAAGAGCAATAGATGAAGTCATATCACCACCTTTATCATAATCGCAAAGGTGAGAAAGGTTGCAGAGCAGCCTTCTACGTCTGGATTGACTCTTGCCATCTTGAAGGGTTGAAGTATGTGTTCCTCGCGTCTGCCCAAGGACTCTCAACAGAATCAAAGGTTCGTAGAATCGATGAAGTAATTTCGAGTACGGGTCCATCCCCAGCCTTCCTGAAGTTTTCTTGGGCCCCATTCTCCATAGGCACCTAGGTAGTTTACCAAGAAACCATCATGTTGCCCAAAGATTGGGAGTCGGCATTAAATAAGATGAATCGAGGTCTTCTCGTGGCCTCAACTCGAAACCATCATCCCGCCCATAACTACGTTGTGCGACCGTACATGCATTTCGAGTCATCCAGTGCGGAGGTCGTGGCACCAACCAGCTGCTCAAACGCGTATCCAACGCGTATCCAACGCGTATCCAACGCGAGTTCAATTAGGCCACTACTATGCATGTTCCCTTCCAATCAGTTATCTGAATCCAATCACTTAAAGTGATACACATAGTACGTTCTTGGAATCGAGGGGAAGTTGCATATTAGGCGGAAGGCTGCGGTTGGGGTTATCATGATATCTGACAGGTCATTATTACACGATGGCCTTTTTTCTAGGATCGGGAGATTTGGTAAGGCTTTCTACGTCACTAACATCAGACCGCGCAGTGTTTCTTATTTTCAAATGTTCTCAGTCAGATATATGCTATTTTGCAGCATCCTAGTAGCTATAAAGAACAGATTTCGTATTGGGGGGGAAGGGGGGGAAGAATTGCACTTCGTGAGACTTCGTGAGAGATAGTATTATCAGCTAAAGTTTATTATGTGTTCGGCATCAACAGATCGCATATCAATTTTGTGAAGGACGCCGAACAACAGGCATTACATCTTTTCAAGATAAACAAATAAATTCCAAGCCGAAATATGTGTGAATGAGGAAATATTATTGGCGAATACATGTCATATCCACCTGTATGTCAAGCAAAGAACGAAGCGGCCAAGGTCTTACCTGTATCTATCACGAGACAGATCTAGTGCTAGAATTCCAAATAAGCGACCTAAAATCCCAGAAATATCATAAAGATATTAACTAAGTAGATTATATAACAAATAATATATCTTTTCTAATGAGTAGCGGCGATTAATTTACTATAAGTGCGGTGTAGTATATGTGGATAAAAAAAAAAGGAGTGTTGTGGCCATCGAGGGAATCGAACCCCAGGACCTAGCAATCATTCGTAACAATACTGCATAGGTATGCGGTAAGTATGTGGTAGTAGTAGTTCTTAGGTAGGGCGGAGAGTTTGAATAATCGCTAGGCCGTACCAACCTGGCCATTGATCGTTTGTTAGAATGCCTTACTGTTCTTTGGACTTATATGTCTAGTTCGGGTCGGCTAAATATCTAGATGTTGCCAGGTGTCCTTATAGAAGGTTAACGGTAGCTTCGAGTAAGTCTCGCACTGTCGTGGTTCGATAAAGTATATTCAGCACGGGCGGTTGTGTGGTCGGTTCATATAGCTCAATTTTATGGCTAAAGAGGTAGGTATAGGGGTAATTCTTATCAGAGGAACAATACGCTTATACACAAACTCGGAAATTATATGCGTACCTATCTTACGTCTCGGGAGCTTTTATACGTATGTCCACCTGATGTCTAATAGGGGGGCAATTAAAAAGGTGTATAGGTACTTAATTATCGCCTATGTTAGTTAGAACCCTTGATTAGTGTCATACATAGAGTGAATATTAGGATAGTAGAATTTAACTATTAACGCCTAGCCCTCTATCCTCTCTCGAGGGCGCCGCGCGCCTCTTATATATCCAATCTTAGTAGATATACTCCCGAATCTACCCCTAACCCACTTATTCCTTGACAACCTACCAAGAAGTCATCTCGCCCTGAGCTACCCAATCACTTAGAGAATACATTAAAGGGGGCTTTTCAAATGGTTGACCGTAATATGTTTTTTTTATAACGGCTGTATTATCTGTGACTGCTTGACAATAGAGTAGGCGCTACATTTTTGGATGATTATACTGTCAATGTCAGGGTATTATGGGTCAGGGGTAGCTACAGGGGTTTATCTACTATATATAAAAGGCGCGAAGCGCCCTCGTAAGAGGATAGAAGGCCAGGCGTTACTAGATCAATACTATCTATTACTTGGTCTACCTATCCTAGACACTCACTCTGTATATGACATCAATCGACGGGTATAAATCCTGACAGTCAAGATATGAGATATAGCAAAATCTGAGCACCTCTCCGTGAGCTACTTTATAATATCATCTATAGCGTCGAGTATCTATGCTATAAATCATATTGCTATCTTTTTAAACCCCCTCTTCACTTATACCTATTATCCTAAGAGGTACCTACTGACTATAGATTTCTCTTTTCCTTCTATGAGAATCTAATAGAGAATTTGGGTCATTTAAGCCGCCATGCTTTCATGATTTATTTTATGCTATCACTAAGACCCGTCTCATGTTGTATCATATCATTTCATTCGTGTTTTTGGACTAAAGGATTCCTTTATTCCGTGCGGCTCTTCATCCTATCTTGAGGAGTGATATATTTAGATTCTCTGGACCACTGAAACGCCTATTAAATCAAAATGCTCTCCATTATTAGTAGTCTGGTCTTAGACAGGTTAATAGCTACTCACGCAAAGGCTAGGTTATATTTAAATCCCCTATTCGTATCTCCACAAGTACCTATCCCTAATGGTGACACTATCAATCCCGCCATCCCTTAGAAGGCATCACGGTTTAAAAATAATTATGGTCACTCCAGTTATGATTGTTATACTAGCCTCATCATTTTTCAATTAAACAGTATATCACCTAGTGTAATTATGAAATGATTCTATCTAAAAAACCGCATAGTATTTGCTAGTGGTAAGTGAGCTTTCATACATGTGCCTGGGTAGACGAGTTTATCTTCTCGGTCATTGTGTAGATCACTTTGCTGCTTGTGGCCGAAACAGTACATTGCTGTGTCATTAGCCACTTCACATGACCCGAGGGTGAGACCACCCAGAGAGTGGCATGGGTTCACTGCCGTTTCTGTCGTCTTCTCAGTAAATCTCACCAACGGATCACCATCACGACCTCCCCCCGCTTTTCAAAGGCGAATTGTTCCCACCAAGACAATATTCGGTATGTGGTCGTATATACGGCTCGTTGGGAACGATCCTTGGTAGAACCAAACCTATGGCAAAGTTGATTTTCTTTATGGAGCGGATAATTACCTAACGTTATTGTTGCTTTGGTGCCCGATTTGGCCTTACGGCCCATTGCTAGGTAGCCATGTAACGTTTGTACCTCCAAGTCTTTGTTCGTAATTTTTCTAGAAGGATAGCACTCTCGTCGCTAGCAACATAATTTTTACGACGGCTTCTTTTTATGACCATGCTAGTCAAATGACGTCGTATACGAGGTATAGACTATAACGCTATTATACTCTTGGCCAGCCGCTCGGGAATTGTCAAAAAGATCAGTTGGTCGATTTTACGAGGCATGAATGCGCACGGATGTAACCTCCACCAAGACCTTACCATTATAACAATATAAATCTGTCAGTATGCGAGTGGATATATATGTGGCTGCGGCGCAATGCGTTACCTTCCACCATGTGAGCCAAGCCCGAACAGCCACGATTTGATTCAGAGCTAAGCCGGGAATACGATGCTTTCACATGGCTGAATTTGTTGACTGGCTGGTTGGTATCTAGCAACACCGATAAAGGCAGAGAGCTAAGGGATGAAAGAAGCTATTGATCCTACTTGGGAATCAGATCCAACAGACGTGAAGGAGACAAGCTGACAATAGAAAAGATCATCACTCTCTGCGGCGCGCAGATTGCTATTCTGGGACCAATAAGGAAGCGTTGACTCCTCCCGCTTCCTCCCTGCGTAGATGGAGCGGGCGAAGGAGGTTAGGAGGGTACCGTATTGATGAAGCGGTCGTACAAATTCAGATAAAATAGTGAAAAATAGTGAGTCCGGGGTAAACGATGGCACGTTACACTAGGCCAATAGAGTACCTAAAGGTATGGGCTGTTCCTTCGGTGCGTTTCAAGCACTCCACCTGCCAGATCGGGAGGTTGAAACAAGGCCCATGGGCGGATCTTGGCGGCCCTTTGGTTCATGCCGGGTCATATACGGGCTGTGGTTGGCTCTGCCGTCTAAATGCAAGGACGACAGGGGTGAAAAACTTTAATGTGAACAACGCAACCGCGCATTAAGTGGTCATTAATTATGGTTGGTGTGACTTGCTAAAGTTGCCAAAGCCCTGTAACTTCGGCCACTCATAGTTGGAGCTGCACCTACCTTACCTGGGTATACCTTGTGCACGTAGTATACCTTCCTGGATTATACCTGGTGTAGGTATTATAACTGGGTACGTAACTCTATCTTGCCCAATCTAACCCATTCAAGGGGGAAGAATGTGGCTTTCTCCAAATTCCATGATGTCCCATTACAACATTGAACCTATTACATAGTACAAGCCTTGCTTCCCATGTGCCTCTTGATGTCGTGAACATGGGTTAGTTTGAAGTTTCGGGCAATTAGGCCTGTCATGAGCAATCTCTATTTACGTCCCGTTGTCGATCATCTATACTTATATCGTAACTTGTAAGGTACATTATCGCTGAACGTAGATCAGCCCCATCTTCTACCGACCTTCTAAGAAAGTGCACATATCCGATTCCCATCTATAAAGCAACCCTCCTCCCATCCACCCAGTTTCTCAACTGTATTTTAACATATCCAACTGCATACCGAGGTAGCAAAGGTGATTCACCTGTAAATATCAGGAAAGGGTTTTTTTTTCTTTTTCGAATTATAAACACGCTCGCTTCGACACTTTCACTCGCTACTTATCCTAAGGAATAATATACCCAACAAAACCTACCAGTTACTTAATAATGGCACCTCTACGCGTGCTCGTTCTTCCGGCTCTTGCGGCCGTCGCCGCCGCCATCAACGTAGCTGACTACGTCCCGGCCTGCGGACCCCCGTGTATCACCGAGACCGTCGACAAGCACACCACTTGCGATGAGGGCGACAACACTTGCATCTGCGCCTCCGTCTACACCGTCAAGCGCGACGGTGAGATCTGCCTGCGAAGGGATTGCTCCGCGACCGACTATGGTACGTCTACTTACATATAATATGATATGAAAGGAAAGAATAAGAAAATTAATTCCGAATACAGGCAGTGTCATGAAGGGCATCGACACCTTCTGCGCCGCCGTCGCCTCTGGCCCAACTGAGCCCACTACTAGCTCCACCCCTGAGCCTACCCCTGAACCTACCAGCACCTCTTCTTCCGGCTACCCGACGTCGCCGTCGCCGTCTTCTTCTTCTTCTGAGGAGACCAGCTCTACTGAAGCCCCAAGCTCCAGCTCCAGCGGTGGTTACCCCACGGAGTCTCCTTCCAGCTCCACCGAGGTGCCTAGCTCTAGCTCTAGCGGTGGCTATCCTACTGAGTCACCTTCCAGCTCGGAGACCGCCGCCCCGCCTTCTTCCTCTTCCCCGGCTCCTCCGGTGTCTTCGGGAACTGGCTACCCTACCGTGTCCACCGGCACTGGTGGCCCTACCACCCTCGTTCCGACCGGATCCAGCACCTCTGCTCCCACTAGCCCGTCTTCCGGTGGTCAGGTCCCTACTGGACCTTCTTCCGTCCCCGGGGGCTACCCCTCCAGCGCCCCCTCCGGCAGCGCGACCGCCACTCCCGTTGCCCCTGGCGCCGGTGCCCGCGCCGAGGCTCGTCTCGGTGCCAGCGTGGCGGCCCTCGTCATCGCCAGCGGAATCATGTACTTCGCCTTCTAAGCTCCATATCCTTTATGACCTAGGTTGTGCGAGCTTGTGGTGTCTCGGGAAGCATCATGTGGTAGCTTATTAATGCCGTGGCTAGAAAATAGGAATGGTTTTTTATACATACAGTCGGTCGCACCTCCTAGTTGAGGGATGGATCTCTTCGCTTCTGAAAAATTGTAGATAGCCCTTGTGCACATGCGTTTGCGTTAGGCATGTGAGTATATATTGAATACATATGCATTGTTACGGATATGTTCTATAGACTCGAGTTCTAATAGTGAGATTGTATGACAATAGTTGTGATACCTGTTACGCCGCCCCGAAAAGCAAAATTTAGGTACCTAAGCTAGAGTCCGTCCTCGCCATTCTTGTTGTTCTCCACGGTGTCAAACACGGTAGTCCACATGTTCAGCTGGGCGGCTAGTCCAAGCCTTGCATGCATTTTCTCTTCCTCGAAGTTAATGATGTCGACGTCTTCTTCCTCGTCTTCGCCCTCCTCCTCCTCTCTCTTAACCCCTCTCCTCGCCTTTTCCTTTACCACCGTCTCTGCAGCCCTCAAGTTGTCTGACTCAGGATGCCAGGTACTCCGGACTACGGGGGCTGGTGGCGACTCCGCGGAACCCACCGATGAACTGCTTCCATTGCTCATTACCTCAGTTAACGCTCTGGTGTGGCTACGGAACAACTTGTCTTTAATCCGGCGCAGCACTCTATGACCAAACCCCGGAGCCGGCAAACGAAGGTCTAAATCCTCAGTTAACACTACTGAGCCCGAATCCTCTTCGTCACTGAATGAACCCGTTCTGGACTTCGATGTGGACTTCGATGTGGACTTCGATATAGACTGCGGGATGGTTATAAACACAACGAGGCCAGGATGGACGGCAGTGCGCCACATCGCGCGCGGGATGACGTTGCCATCAAGGCCCCTAAGCTCGTACCTACCCCCTATTAAGTAAGAATTGGGAATATTTATCTCGTGTACGGTCTGCCTGATGAGTCCGTCTATGCCCTAATACAAAGACACGAATGGGTGAGCGTTCGTCAGCTTGTCTACGATAACAAGGAGTAAATGAATAGGCGAACGATTAACTCACCTCCCATGTACGACATAGTTCGAACGCGAACTGGAAATATTTTACGCCAAATTTGACATGGACTGGCTGGACGGCGGACAGCGAGAAAAATACGGCAATATAAGATTGCCCCTGACTCCACCCGAGCTGCTGGCTTATCGCCACACAGGACCTGGCGCGGTGACTTGAACGGTTTGCTTCTGCCATCACTCGATCTACGATTTCTCGCTGGGCGGAAGTGAATGATGCATACTGTGCCCATACGTCGCCTTGTCTTGACTTAGTGATTCGCGTAATTTCTTCCGTCAGCTTCTGGCGGCTGAAGGGGAGTTTGCGGATGGTGCCGGTGTCACCTTCGACGAGGTACCCCTCGACCTCCTGGCTCTTCCAGTCGTGGACAAACCTATCTCGCGTCCTGAATAGGCTCGATACCCACGAAAAAGCACCGAGGGTTTCCGGCGAGGGTTCGGGGGTGTACCATTCCTTAACCCTGGCGTGTCCTATTGGGTTATTTTGCGGAGCCGGCTCTTTCTCGTTGCTGGCATTTGATGACCTCGGGCGAGCCGTTTGTTGGCTAGTATCTACGTTCAAGGGAGAATATTGGGCGTCTATTTGGGTATTTTGGGTATGTCTTTGTGCCTGAGGGGCTGCAGGGTTTGCGCTGGTCATTTCCTGAGCTGCAAATTGTTGAAGAGGTTCGGTTTGCTTGGGGTGGCTAGCATTATTTTCTAGGTTCTCATTATCTTCAACTGCCGAACTACCGGGAAGCCTGGCCGGTGCGTTCGGAGTATTGTCGCTAAATACATATATTAGTTCATGTGTCAATATGATAGGTATTGGTGAGCTATCTTACACTACGTAATGTAATCCAGGGTTAGGAGATTTAGACCGCTTGAAGCTCGAGCTTCGAGATATAACCTCATCTATAATACTCGAGGAAGACCCGGTCGGTGGTTTCTTTCTGGCCTTGTTCTTTTCCCTTCTCCTTCGGGAGGTTATCTTGTTGATATACGCTTCCATTTTAGCATGGAGCTTTTCCACCTTGGCGTGCAAGGCTAATTCCCTCTCATATGCATCGGGGGATCTAGCTGGGCCCCTATGCACGGAAAATTAGCAATAATCAAGCCAGGGTTGTACGCAATACAAACATCTTTCTGGTTTTTGCAAGCTCTATGAGTCCTAAATGAAAAAGTAGGCTAAATTTTAACCATCTTAGCTCTTCCCGATGTTTTCTGATACGAGATTCCCGGAAGGGCCATATGAGCTTCTGCATTCGACTTGGGGCGTTTAAGCTGTGTAAGTCTAATGCGTCAAGGGACACTTTGCCATTGTCGTCCTTTGGCACGCCGACGGCCTTGGCGATAAGATAGATGATGACAGTATAAACTTGCTCGCACTGCGATGCGAGTCGTGCAACTTCTTCCACTCCCGAATCACTCGCAATTGCCTTACCACTCTGATCGGGTCTCATGTATTCATCGAGTTGTTTTAGAGCGGACGCCGTTGCACTGACATCTAAAGCAATGCCCCGTAAGTTTTCTTCCGCATCAGCTACAGCCTCGATGTATGTCTGTAGCGTCGTTGCGAACTTGAGGCCAAATGAGGCAATGCCTATGATGGAGCTGACTGCTCCTAAGGGGTCCCCCATCCCTTTCTAGTGCTAATCCTATGCTTAATTATTCGTAATAAAGGTCAAGTAACGTAGATAGTAGATAAATGATTAAATAATAACTATAGGCGAGAATAAAGTCGGGCATAAATATATATAGACATAGCCTTATCGGTCAGCCGTTCCACGTGGCAACGCAAGTGGCAGAAGCTTCCATAAGAGCGAATAGGAGAATAACCTCAATCATTATCTTATCTTATTCCGAGTGACTGAACAAGACGTCTTACAAATAATAAAATGCGAGAATGCTGTCAGAATCAGCATATCGGTCTAGAAAGAGAATGTCACATGAAGTTGTTGAAGTAGTTGAAAAAGAACCTTAATAATTATCGATGATATGAAAGTTATATTATGATAATGTGTGGGAAGCACTTGCCTCAGGAATGCTTCCACGTGTGGATAAGGAAGTAACTAGTGAGCCACGGGTGTTGGCCATATAAACACAGAACCTTTTATAACCTTAGGTACACACACAATAATACACACAAGCATCAACGCGTACTCGTATTCCCTCATAATGATCGTTATAATTGGACTTAAAGCTTCTGGGTTAATTGAAATCCACCTCGGAATTACCCATACGTAACGGACCCGACCCAGTTAGGTTCTTGATTTGGTAAATGCGGTGTAGGGTAGCTAAGGCAACTCTCTGCAACGCGGCCTAACCAAGAACGCTACCTACCTCCTATACCTCCTATATAACCTCGTTCGTCATGAGCTTACCTCCTCCTCGTTTTACGCGGTGAAAGTCATTTATCAATTCAATTCAGTTCAGATCCCATTACTATATCATCAATAAGTCATCATGACAGTCACAGAGTTAGCATGGTTTACAGGTGCCCACGGGCCCGTTGGAGACGACGCCAAGGAGGCCATGAACCAGGCCCTAACCGTCCATGATGACTGGTGCGCCCGCAACATCCCGACATTACCTAAGGACAGAGAAGCTCGTGGTGTAGGCTTCTTCCGGCAGATCGAGGATCCATCTATCACCCTCCTCACGGCGCACTGGGAATCCGTCTCACAGCACGGGCTTTGGCTGGCCTCCCCCGAGAACAAGACTGCCTACCCCCCTCTCAGAGAGCACTTCACGCTAGAGAAGACGGTTGTATCCCACCTCGAAGACGCCGAGTTCTTCGACACATCGGGACCGGACGGCGAGATCTCCTTGTTGAAGAGTCCCATCGTTAGTTTAAGCATTGTGACCATTCCGGCTGAGAAACGTAAGGCATTTGAGCAGGCTTGGACTGAAAATAAGCACATATTGGAGGCATATACACCACTAGTTAAGTTCGGGTGGCGCATCGAAAAGGAGGATGAGAGCTTAGAGCAATTTATTCTGTCTTGCCCGTGGCCAAGCGTCGAGAAGCATATGGAATTCGCAGGAGGAAAAGACTTCCCTCAGTTCTCAGCAGCAATCTTGTCCCTTTCGCAGGATACCGAGGCTAAGCATTACGAGAGGATCCTGTAAGACATGATTAAGATGATTAAGCACACAATAAGAAGTTCTCTTCTGCTCTTTGGAAATAACGGCCCTGATCGCGGGATTTTGTGCAATTGTTGTGAATTGTCTACAAGCGTTATCGTGCTCGAGAAATATCAATTCGGAAGGTATCCTTAGACGCCGCCTCATGAAAATACCAGCCCAGCTACAAGAGCATATGCATCACTCCCCCATTGGTCCTCGATGACCGCGTTCGTAGACGCCTATCCGTCCATCACCCTGAGACTTCCCCAGTTGCGATTGGTAGTTTTCCTTTCCCCGGACGCGTGTTCAGAACTTATGCCGTGTGCTTGCCCTTCCTGTTCTTCTTGGGGACCTCCTTGATTTGTAGGTCTATGGCCATAATGTTAGTGATTGTTTGAAGCTTCAGTTTGCGATGAGTCAATGCGTACTCGGGGGTAAGCTCTGCTTTAGCTTCTCGGCCTTGTCCGAGTCCTTAAGGATCAGGGTGTAGAGGTGCTTGGAGCATCGGACCTTGAACTTGGTCTGCGACGACTTTTTGCTCTTCTTGATCCGGGCGGCTGCAAAAAAAGCAACTTGTTAGAACCAGCACTGACACCAAAGTAACTATCTTCTGTTCATTATCTCGTCACGTACACTTGGCGTCTTCCCGCCGGCAGATCTCGATGAACTAAATAACTCAATTGTTAGCCAAAATTCATTTAAAAACATTTAAACAGGGTCTTAGATTCGCAACTGTACCTTCTTGATATCGGCGATTTCCTGAGGCATTTTGACGGTGTGATGGCGGAATCGATGTTGATAGAGGTAGGAATCGAGAAGTTGACTTTTCTGCCGGTGTTGCGAAATTGACTCCGAAATTGTGTGGGCGAAATTCCGTGACAGGGTTCTAAGCGATTTCCCAATATTGATACGGATTAGTGGGGAGGGTTCTTGTAATTGATAAGAGATAAGTCCCACTTTCGACATCCATGAAGGATGAGGCTTTCCACTAATACCGTACGTGGCTGATGACGTGGCGTTAGCTTCCACTATCACAAGCCGAAGACTCATAGATACAAGGTATTGGTCCTTCTACGAAAAGAACCATGATTTAAACAGGACAGAGTTGCCTGACCACTGAATTTAGATATCGGTGATTCAGAATACGGGCAGCCTTCTACGTATTCATTTTATGTATATAAGTTCCGTCCGAATTGCCAATCGACCATGCCTACTCTTCTTGATAATGCTATGAAATCTAAGGTGCACAACCCTCAAGGCTCAACATCATCTATCAGTCTTCCATTGGCACCTAGCTAAGGATATTCTAACTAACTCAACGCGAGTAGAACGCTGTACTAGGTACATCTACTAAGTACATATAAATCGTTGCATCTTCGCCATACTGATGAGTGCTTATATCAAAGCCTTCTCCGGGCTCGTTACAGCCGCCCTCGCTTGGTCATTGGCCGGCGGGAGTATCTTCCCTTCTCAGGATGATCCGAAGGGAGACCCCGATACTTGGACGCGGGAGGAACTCAGAAGATGGCTCGCGGCTGTAAGAATGTTCCCGTATTCTACTTAACCTACTCCGTTAGTTAACTACGTCTAGCGCAACCTTCATCCCCAGAAAGGAGATACTCGAGAGCAACTCCTAGAAAGGGTTAAGGCAAATATGAGGTAGGGTGCGTTATTAGTAGCTATTTGAAATATTAGTGGTCTACTCCGGTCTGGTATAGGAGCGATTAGAGAGTCGAAATGGGCCGTCTAAGCATTGAAGAATAGAAGGAAGCATGAGGTTTCCCATCCACGAATTAGCGCTTTCTCGACCGTCAGTCTTGGTTTTACATGAATACATAGGTACCTATGTAATTATACTTGAAGAATCGCTGGCTACAAAATACAGTCTTCCACTGTCATATATCTCTACAAGATACGATATTATACAATATACTATGTAGTATTTTACTGTCCACATCACGCTAGGCTTGTCTATATTTATTACATTATATCACAAGCTAAAGGACCGAAGCCTTATAAACTAGTGAGTTGAATAATCGGATGAATATAGGTTTTTTATATTCCTTTTTCCATTAGGCGCCTATAGGTAGACAAAAGCCACCGGAGACTACAGTCTCTGCAAAAAGGGCTAGAACTTAAAGTGCAACGGATCCGTATTCAGGTACGCCTTTATCTCCTTTTGCTTCGTCATCATCGTCTAAATACATAGCCTTCTTAGAGACATCCCCTTAGCCCTAGTAGCTTCAGACTAAGGCATCTCGTACCTCTATGAAGCGCTTGAGCCGTGTCCCCGACGTTGGTCGCCGTACTTAGGAATATCTAGTCATTTCCCTTTTGCCCATCCCTCAGAATTATAACTTATCGGATACGCTTCGTCAAGAAATTTAAACTTGGTCTGGACTTCACGATTCGGTAGGTTCCAATGTGACACCACTTCAGATAGGTTAGTTGACGCAACCAATATTTAGTATACCAGGGTAGGAACTTACGCTGTGATGGTAGCCCATCCAATGAGACGCCAGTGCTTCTCAATTCTTCGGCTAAGAGCGATCTTCTCTCCAAGGTTTGTGCAGGCAGGGCTGGTCAGGGACAGCTTAGCGGCATCCTGCTTAATGGCGGCAACCTTGGCACCAGTTGAAGTGGATCCAATGTTCACCATGAGGACTTCATTCTTGGTTAATTTAGCCACCTTTGCTTGCTTGCCGTCTGCTGTGCGGACACCGAGCAGTCTCTTCAGGAGGTAGAAGTTGACTTCAATCTCGCTGTAGATGGCAGGAAGACGTCCCTTAAGGCCGAGAACGAATCCAACTAGACGGTCAGCTCTGCAAAGAGTAGGGTCAATGCGCGTGCCAACACCAATGAGACCACCGGGGACTGCGTATTTCAGATCATTGAACTCTGAGTTGAGAGAGACGATACGACTGCAGATGGGCTTGCACTGGAGAGCACCCTTATCGTCTCGAGTCACAATACCAGGTCTGATTTCAATCTCGTCACCGAGCTTCAGCACACCATGCAGAATACTACCACCTGCAACACCACCCTTCAACTCTTCGATCTCGGCACCGGGCTTGTTGACGTCGAAGGATCGAATAACCATCATGTGAGGCTCTTGAGTGAAATCTCTGGGTGGTACCGGGATAGTGTTGACAATAGCCTCATTGATAGCGTCGATATTGAACTTCAGTTGCGCAGAGATAGGAATGATGGGTGATTTGGCAGCAGGAGTTCCACGGACGAACTTCAGGATAGACTGGTAATGTTGTTGGGCGGCTTCTTCTCGCATAAGGTCGACCTTGTTCTGAAGGATGATAATCTTGTCAAGCTTCATAATTTCGATAGCTGCCAAATGTTCCGAAGTTTGAGGCTGAGGTACGGTTTCATTTCCAGCAATCAGTAATAGAGCGGCGTCCATCACCGCAGCTCCAGACAACATAGTACTCATGAGAATATCGTGACCAGGGCAATCCACAAAGCTAAATATTGTCAGCAACATAAAAAGGCAAATAGGACAATTAATAAACTTACGAGACATGGCGTAGAAGTCTGTATGTACCGCTGCATCCTTCACGCTCGCAAGGGGGGTCTACCTCCTTCTCACTCTTGTAGCTTCGATAGCATCCGGGCCTAGGGCATTCAAGGTTATCGCACTTGTAGATCTTGGCGTTCGCATATCCCAACTTGATGGTGATGTTTCGGATCAACTCGTTCTTGAAACGGACGGTCTGGACACCTGATATGGCCTTCACAACGGTTGACTTGCCGTGAGCGACGTGACCGATCGTACCAATGTTGATAGTAGCTTGTCGCGCGATAATCTCAGGTGTGAGCGGGGTTAGTGATTGTAGATCGAGGTCTTTCGGGTCTGTTTGAGGAGGGAGATGAGGACGCTCAATCGGAGGCGAGGGGCCTGAGGGGGACTTCTTCATAGCTGACTTGAGGGGTTTCTGATCTACCTCCTCAACACCATCGTCAACTCCATCGTTGATAGGTGACTCGTTGCCCGAATCGGAATCGGACTCGATGTCGTTGCCAAACCTGTCGGGCGCGGACATTGTGATGTATGTGTTGTCGGTATTATGTCTTTATCTATGTGCTTTTTTCGTTGGCTCCTGGATGTAAACGGTTGCTTGCGACTAAGTGAAATCTAACGACTTTACAAAATGACGTTTAGGCGTGGAGTTTGGGATTTTTTCGAAAGTTGTGTATGAGTCTTCTCCCAAACGGCGATAAGATAAAGAATGAGGGGCAAATTTGGTAGGTACAAAGCTTGGGGTACTTGACTTACTAACCCACAAGGGATGGAAACTATAGAGGACGGTAAGACCTGGCAGAATAATAAGTTTGTAGCTTCCTGTCTTGTCCTTGTTAAATCGTTACTTCCTGCTACTTGCAATTAAAGAGACTAAGTCACGTGTTTATATACTAATACGACTAAAAGATACTAACTATGAACCATTAAACATCTCAAGTCTACTTCGTACAACAACTTCTAGTTAATAGAATTGGGTTTCCCTCATTGCAGGTCAAGCAACATTAGTTCAACCTCGAGTCAATTCGGTTAGCTTAGTAAGACCAAGTTTCTTGCAATAGCTATTCGCGCTATCACGGAGCCTGTTGAATTTAGTAATCATCCAAGCATTAGCCATGCTATCATTGTTACTATAGGATATATTTTATCCAATATTAAGCTCATTTATGAGCCGCCAAAGCTCCGAGATAACCATTTCCTCGTCATTCGACAAAGACTATTCTCAGACACCTAATTAACCCTCAAGGCTGACGAACATTCCTATGTAGAGAGACCATTATAAGCCTCCAGCATGTCACTATGTCGGCACTAAGGTAACTAGCAACCAAGATTCAAACTACAGTCTGCAGGAATATATTCATATATGCAGCCCTACCACGATTTCTTGTCTGATGTAAGTTACATAGCGCCATTGAATTATATTCTATTCACTCGCGTGAGCTAGTATAGCATCTAGACCGTTTGACGTGTAGTTTAACAGCATTGATATAGCAGAACTACTGCTTTCGAGGCGATATCACCCACACGACCGTGCGCCGCCTCATTGGCCATGAGAGCAAAAGCGCTAAAAATAGCCCTTGATATCCTTGGCAGCACAACGGTCTTGTTCTGTTTAATAAATGATCAAATAAGAGCTATGCTAGTCCAGTAGCACGATGGCATGCAGATTCGTCAGAAATTGGCCTCCATTCCCGCCTGTCCGTGTAACCGATCATGGTAAGGGTCCGGGAGGGGGGGGCAGGCTTTTTTGGTGCTTGGGTTACATTTTAGCACGACAATCACCTTGCCGATTATTTTCCTTAAATTGACCGAGTCCGCAGTCGAGTCATTATTCTCTGTGCTAAAAAAGGGAACATATGATCGGCTATTCGTTGCATCTAGCCGGCGGACTTCAGAGTTCTCAGGAGCTCTTATAGACATTTGCGCTTCGTCTTACGATCAAGGTCTGAGGTGTTATGGTCCGGAATCCTTCTCATTACATCCCCATTACATCCCCATTACATATGTATCTGCGGTGACAGAAGTGAGCGCGAGAGTAATAAGCAATAGGGACTCGGGCTCAAAGTCCGAACGGGGCCGGTTGTTTCCTGTTGTTCAATATGGCTGCATGGTGGGTAAGAGTTTACCGCCCAGGCACAACCTAATCCCATGCATAGTGTCGTGCGGTATCACGTCTCTTCAGCTTCTGATTGGCTATGTCTTCTACCTTGTATCTGGGCACGGGTCTTGTCAGGGATGCTATCTGCCTATCAAATCGGTAGATCGTCGACTGGGGTCAATGAAAGCGCCTAGGAAGATTCGCGCCGGCTAGTCCCACGCATCCAACCACATCTCATTCTCCCCGTCTTTTGCGCTCGACTGGGTAGGGACCCCTGGCATTAACAAGTCTTTTCTTCAACCTCATTCGTAGTGCGCATTTTGGTATGTCGGGTGCATCCAATTACGGCTCAGGTCTGCACCCAAGAGACTGTTGCTCGCAAAGAGAGATTGCCCAGTCTACGAAGTAATAGTACTGCAGTAAATGATGTACATGGACATGCGGTTAACCATGGGTCAATGTACCTCTTTGGTGATAGATGTAGGTGCGAGAGACTCCTTCATGCTTATTCCATACCTGTATAGCCGTGGTAGCGAAAGTATTGTCGGCTCTAGATACCATAGTATCATTTCCCCAGCATAGGACCAACAATTCCCTCTTCTCACTCATATACTCAGCCTTTTTCTCGGTATACATCTTTACCCTCTTCGTTTCGTTTTTACCCAGACGCTCCCCCATCCGTGTGAGAAAGTCGGTAATCAGAAGCCTGTAACTTGCCCCGTTGGATTCTAAATCAACGTTGACACGTTGATCTGGTAATTCCGATACAACCCAGCAAGTGCTCAGCGTTAGACTACGGCCTGCGGGCGTCTATTTTCATAATCGTACAACTTGGATATTGGGGTTCACTCTAGCCACCCTATCAGAGACTTGGATTCGGTCGATTCCTACCCCCCAGTCCATCGTGAGCGATCCCATTGCATTTTATGTAGCCCCATCGACTAACTGTCCCATGCAGAATATTCCCAGAAGAGGTCGAATGAGGTGACAACATATCGCAGCGGCGCCTACTCAAAACCACCCACCTCCCCAGCTATCCAGCTCTGAAATACTTTTCCTTCGATAGCTGGTCTCTTCCAATTCATTCTCGTATTAATCCATTCCTCTCTTTAAGCCACATACATTCTGGTCCTATTCCTAAGGGTATCGCATGAGCATATAGTAGCTTGTACACATAGACTGAGTCTTGTTCTTTTTTTTTCATTTCACTTTTCTTCCTCATCATACACACACTATAGTCCAATGGCGCCGCAAGACGAAAAAAGGCGGCCTTCCGCCCTTAAGCTGGCTCCCTCGCGATCTTCCTCTACCGGCTCCACATCTACCACATCGTCACTAGGCAAACCACCAAGGACACCAAGATTCGCGGAAGCTACTACAGTATACTCACCGGTGGAGCAACCAGATACGCCGTTTGGGAGAGACGATAGATCACATGTAGCTCACGCTCAACCGGCTGATGTTGGATTTGGATATATTGGAGATGAGTCGAGCCACGTAATAAACATGCCGATGACACCAAAGTCGCCCCTAAAGAGTGCCATGAAGGTACCAGGCACGCCAGGGAGGAAATTCGAGAACCCCTTAAGTCCGACATTCATGGAAGAGGAGATGTTAGAGAAGCGGGAGAAGGACACCGAGAAGGAGCAAGTACGAGACTTGGTAGGTTGAATTACGATCGAGTGTGTAAGAATCTAGACTAACACCCAATACAGGGTCTCAAGACGAAAGTGCGGATGGCCAAGTTCGCACTCCGAGGTGTCAGCTTCAGCTGCAGTACCATTATCCTAGCTATGCTTTCTTCATCCTTCGCTATCTTCCACGCGACCAAGAGTCTACCAGCACAGAACGGCCTACCTGCATGGGCGACAGGCACGAGCACGTGGCCGCAAATACTCGTATTAGCTGTCTCCTGCACTAATCTCCTCATCTGCATCCTCATCTTCATCGGGTACTGCCGAGGTGGTCACCACCGCGCGGAGAAAGTTGGTGTATACTACACACTGTTCGCAGTTGGCTGGTTCATCGTTTCCGTGATTCTATGGGCTGCCGCTGCAGGTGTCTTGCAATTCACGAGGAACAACAGCGACAACAAGGACCTGTGGGGATGGGCATGTGTCCAGAACCACCGTTCCGACCTCTTCTCGCAAAAGGTTGACTACGAACTTGTTTGCAGACTTCAGGTGAGTGCCTATATAAACTTGCCCAATTGCTTGATCATATAGCTAACAATCTCCTTAGAACTGGGCCCTGATCTGCATCATCATCGAGATCGTAATCGACGTCCTTACCATCATCCTCTACAGCGTCGTCTTCTACCGATACTACACCAAGCGACGTCTAGCCAAGTCGATGGACCTGCGAGACCGCGCTCGATCCGACCTATACCTAGCCCAGCTCCGATCGCAATCGGCCCCCAACACCCCAGGCTTCGGCCCCAAGTCTCCATCATTCTCGCAGTACGCTATGTCGCCGCGCTTCCCTCCTTCGGCTTACAAGTCTCTTGGAGATATCTCGGAAGGACCCGCGTTCACGCCAGGAGCGCAGATCGCCGAGCCACAATCCACCTTCGCGAGCCAACCCAAGAGCGCCGAGAAGCCGTTCAAGCTGCAGGCTCCTCCTAGCAAGGCCCCCTCCGCCACCCCCAAGACGAGCCAGGGTGGATTCCGAACACCTACAACACCCACCGCACCTGGACCCAGCTTCAGCTCCAATTTCAACGAGCACGGCCCAGTTGCACCTGGCGAGGTACAGTACGATGCCGTACCTATCCCCGGCGCGTACAACGACGCCGTTGTCAAGAGCCCGCCGCCAGCACAGACGAGTTTCAGCCACCGGCGGTAAAGGGGCGCGATACGGGAAGGAAAATAAAAAATAAAAATAAAAAGAACTAAACTATTATTTGGATATACTTAATTTCTTTTGTTCAGCTGAGCTGGAAACGGGTCACATCGATCCAAGTTTGGATTCCCCCTACCTATTACTATCACGCGCTATGTTCTATGTTCTATCATGCAGGAACGTAGGAAAAACCGACGAATCAAACTGACCTAAAGACGAGGCGGCGTCCTCGAGGTGATATGATTGGGAAGAGGGTGTGGGTTGTGGGGTTGTGTATGAATTTGGGATACCGGCGAACTTGGAATATACCTCGGGGATGGAACAAGCAACTTTTACATATATCATAATTACTGCTACAATGTGCATAGCAAAATTTTTTTTTCTTGAACAATGAGATATCAGTTCAACAAACTACTTCCTCTCAGATTGCTTCATTTTCGGTGAGATGTCTATAATAGTACTCGTTAACGTATAGCACCTTGGAATATGCACGAATGGACCTATACGTCAGATACTTAGCAGGTAGGCTCTCGTGATAGGTCGTAGCAATGAGACCCTCTTCGTGGCTATGTCGGTACTGTGGTCTGTGGACGCACAACATTCTGCAACAAGCAAGGGTTACTTATGTATTTCAGAGCCGCAGGGCTACACACCCGGGGCTAGTAGGAGTACGGAGAGAGCTCTCCCGGAAGGCGCAGTTAGCTCGGAGTGAGAGGAACAAGTGACGAGTGGTCGTGTTCTGGGTCTTGGGTTTATTAATTGGGTTGGATTCTCCGAGCAGTTGTTGATATCGGAGTTATGCTAATTTTATATTTGGCACACCTTGTACCGGTGAAGGATGATCTACTTTCCTAGGATGTAGGTAAGCAATATATAGATCCGTACTCGTAAAGGCGGTGGCTGTGTATCGATGAAGATGTGAAAGTAGCGAAGTTTGATGTCACTGACTTGAACTTGAACTCTTGTATTTCCACCCAAGTGCTGCCAGCTGCTAGCCAGCCGTATACCATCATCAGCTCACGGTGGGCCGTTTCCAAAAGAGTTTCTCCAAGCTCCAAGCTCCAAGCTCCAAGCTCCAGCTCCAGCTCCAGTTGTATACATATATCTACCTATACATATATCAGCCACCTGCAAAGTCACCACCGCGGGCGCATACCGAAATTTCAAGTGCAGCAAAGCTGTGGGTCAACCAATTTCGTTACGAAAAAGGAGTACGGCCCCCAAATTACGGCCTACGGTTTATCCAATGGCGGGTGCTACGACGTGCGCGCGGCGGCTACTGGTGCGGCCCGCGTCGCCCTTCCGGTTTCGAACGTACAGCACGCAGCCCCCAAGAGGCTCGAATAACACGGTCAAGTTCTGGCCGTTCGTTGCTATCATCGGCCTTGGGACCGCGGGGTATGTTATGTTGGTTAGGGCTAAGGCTGCGAACAGGTGAGTAACTCTAGAGTCTAGTGTCTAGTGTTCACTTTCATGTTGTGGTTAGGGTATTATTATATTGACAGGTCGGCGTACAGGAATGCGCCGGTGAGGAGGTTGCAATAGTGGCTCCTTTACTGGATATATTCGGCAACAAGCGTGTCAACGTGATATATCATATGTACCTACCTATATTATATGTATGATTATTGATTGGGTGTGGATGGGTTTCCGGTCTACCAACACACATCATTCACTGGGCACAATGCTTTCGTTTGAGAGTGAGTGGGAGAAGTCGGCTGTATAATATTGGTAGAGTAGGAAATAGGAAATACCATAGCCAGCGGAAGCTTCTTCGATCATTACTTTGATATGTGTAAGTTCAGCTCATTTTCGCCTACCTATTACAACGGGGTATATGGTATATTAGCCAAGCACCTGTAAGAGAAGCTGTATATTTAGAATTCGCAACCATCGAAGAAAGTTTCGGAGGTGACAAGAAATATAAGAAAAATGTTGTAAAGTAACATCAACTTAATCGTCTATCATATCTGTATACAGCTATCTATTTTGAGTAATCACCGTATAGCTAACCAATATATAGACCTGTGTTTAAGCTATACCGTTCTTCCGTGTCTCAATTCTTTGAGTTCTATAGGTCTCTTAATTATACGTCACTAACCTGGACGAGTGACTCGGGCAACCCCGTTATAATTACTCGCCTTAGTACATACATACAGTATAGACCTGACTTAGAGTTCGAGAAATAACGGCTTGACGAAGTTTACCCTAATACATAGAGGTTACAATCGATAGCGGGTGCAAATAAGGAGGGGCTCGCATGAACTTATCATTTGTATCCCTGTCCCGCTCAGCTAGCCAATAGATGAACAGGTACCCAAGTATGGTGGACCATTAGTGCAACTGTGCCAAAATCAAGAAAATTAATGGCATTATGTCTAATAGGGTAATAGTAACGTTAGGGGTATAGTGTAGGCTCGATTATTTGCCTTGTATATATAATTTATTCCGTATAAAGTAATACATACTTCTTTTAAACTTAATAGTATAATAACTTCACGAATATTCATTTAAATTTTTTTTAAAAAACATTAATATTTCGATTAATAAATAATAAAAATTATAGTTTAGGTTATATACGATTTAATTTAATATTAATAAAAATATTAAAAAGGTTATAAACGTAATTATACAGGCCGTTTTTTTTAAAAGTTTAAAAAATTAACTAATTAAATTTAGCTTTTACTTTAACTTTAAATTATTTATTTAATTTAATTGTTTTATATACACACACATATACATATAATACATTTAAATAATTTTATAAAAATAATAATTTAAACGTTATAATTGGTATTATTTAATAACTTTAATTAATGCGAAAATAATTATTTAAATTGCATTTAAATCGGTTTTTTAACTATTATGTTATAATAAAATTAAATAACGTTTGTTTAAAAAAGCAAACACGTAATACCCTTTAAAAACACTTTAATAAAATCATTTTAAACAAACTTTAAATACTTTAATAATAATATAATATTTAATATATATCGTATAAATATATAATTTAATTTATTATTTTCGCATATATTAAAACTATAAAATAATACCAATTATAACGTTTAAATTATTATTTTTATAAAGTTATTTAAATGTGTTATATGTTATGTATAAAGCAATTAAAAATTGAATTAATAATGAAATCTTTTAATTTGATTGGTTAATGTTAAATATTTTATCTTGTATATACCCCGCATAGTGTACTGTACATTTAGCATTCTTTGCTATATTACCCTTTTTGGAAAATTCTAACCTATTTTATTGATTTTGGCACAGTTGCACTAATGGTCCACCATACCAAGTATCAAAATGCGGGACATATCAAGAAATTAAGCCTGTACCACTCATTCATTCCATTCATTCATGAGATTCCACTATGCCAACATAGCATCGCTTCACTCGGTAAACAACCCCCCCTTTTTTCTTGCCTTTTTTCTTCCTTCTCCTACTCCTTCATTCGTTCCTCCCTAGAACAAGACCTATCGAATAAATACCGATTATAAACAAGCAAGGAAGAAAATATAGACAAGACAAGACAAGACAAGACAAAACAAGCTATTCAAAATGTCCACCATCGACAACCTCAAAGACCGCACCACCCCCGTCTTCTCCCCCGACGACGTCACCGTCATATTCGTCCTCGGCGGCCCCGGCGCCGGCAAAGGCACCCAATGCGAGCGCCTAGTCGCCCGGTACGGCTTCGCGCACCTCTCCGCCGGCGACCTGCTCCGCGCAGAGCAGAACCGGCCCGACAGCGAGTTCGGCGACCTGATCCGACACCACATCCGGAACGGGCTGATCGTGCCGATGGAAGTAACAATCGCTCTCCTCGAAGCCGCCATGCGGCAAATCCTCGACGAGCCCGCCTCCTCCTCCTCCTCCTCCTCCGAGCAGCAGCACGACGGCCGCCGCAAGAAGGGCAAGTTCCTGATCGACGGGTTCCCGCGCAAGCTCGACCAGGCGATCAAGTTCGAGGAGGCGGTTGTGCCGGCGCGCTTCGTGCTGTTCTACGACTGCCCCGAGGACGAGATGGAGCGCCGGCTGCTGGAGCGCGGCAAGACGTCTGGTCGCGAGGACGACAACGCCGAGTCCATCCGCAAGCGCTTCCGCACGTTTGTCGAGACCAGCATGCCTGTTGTCGATTACTTCGAGAAGCAGAACCGCGTTGTCAAGATTGACGCTCGTCAGCAGCCGGACCAGGTCTTCGAGGCAACCCGGAAGGAGCTCGAGAAGCGCCTCCAGCTCTGAGTCTGAATTACGCTATATTTACCTGGGTAGCCAACCAGAGCTGGTCGTAAAACGAAGCTTTATTAGTAAACTCGTGGGCCGTGGCGGCGGGGAGGTAGATTTCAAATGAAGGAAAAGGGGTAGTTATTCCGGATATAGAATTCAGCCTTTTCTATCCTATTAAGGTTATAGAGAGAGAGAGAAGAGATACGATGATGAATGATAAAAGACTATGAAGAATTAGGGGATATATAGGTAAATGTAGAGACAGCCAAGAGTCTGTCTGGGTTGCATAATCTACGAGGGCGAGTAGCGATTTTACCTCTATAAGATAGAAAGAAGCACAAGCAAGAAATATGTTAGTTAATGAACTCTTGCAATTAAAATGCGATGCGCAACGCATTCCCAGGCAACTTTTCTGTATCCTCTAAATACAAGTCGTGAAGTAACGCGTGGGGGCCAATCCTCATAATCTATACTTGGGCCCCAGTGACATTCCACTCCTCCCTCCTGCAAACCTGGGGCCTCAACATGCAACATGATGCAACGTAAATCGCAACCGATCGCGACGAGATGAATACATCGTCATGTAGCCTCTGACTACCGCGTATTAAACCTGGAAATCATTCGCAACCGAACTAAACTCTCGCCCTGCAAATCCGTAAGACGCCGTAGACCGTACCTGATGCAGACAATCCAAAGACGGAAACGTCGAGAGAAGAGAATATGCCTTTGTCTAATCGTCATCCTCAGCTCGCTCTCTGCGAGGCGCTCGCTCGCCATGATTGCCACCTCCTCGGCGTCCACCGCCACCAGCACCCGACTGATTACCGCCACCAATACCCGTGTTCGCTAGGCGTCGCTCGAGCTCTTCTGCCTCGCGTTTCTTATGCACATCGGCGTTGGCTTGCTCTCGGCGTAGGTTGGCGATCACATTAGCGATCAGGGTTCGCCAGCCATCGAGACGATCGCCGACCTCGCGCCATTGCTTCTCGCCAAATACTCGGTAGAATGTCTGGTGGACCAGGAAGACCTTCTTTTGCTGCGACAACTTTCCTTCGACTAGGCCGGCACGAATTACATCGATCGTCCACATCTCAACCTCCTCGATGGGAATCTGAAGGGCCTTGGCGATGTTCTCGTACGGGATCTCGCGGTTGGGGGTGCTAGCTGCTAAACTCGCAAAGGTGAGCAGTCGGATCTTGCGATGAAGCTTGTCTCCATCAAGGTGTTCCTTCTCGATGAAGCCCTCGTGCTCGTCGTTGAAGTCTTTGTAGTCCTCTAGATCCTTCTCGGCGAAGATTGTGAGTAGTTCGAAGTAGAGAGGGTGGGAGTCAGAGAGCGCTTGAATCGCTGGGACGGCAAGAAGGTCTTGAAAGTCGTTGTGGGTAGGGGAAAGAAGCGCTGTCTTCAAGGCACGGAGGGCAAATTGCTGGGCCTCCTCTGACTTAACGTCTTCTTCATCGAATGTGTGTAGAGCACTGAGGACATGCTGGTAGGAAGCCCTATCCAAGTTGCAAGATTAGCAATTGACCAAGTAAAACTATGCGAAATTGTAACTCACTCGTCATCACCTGCATCATGAGCTACCTCCGCCATCTCGAGGAATAGCTTTCGCTGGTCCTCCTCGTCAGTCTCCCACTGCTTAAGCCACTCTTTGACGTTAGGTAAGGCCTTCTTAAGATTGTCGTACATGCTATTCAGCTTGATGAATCGCAAGATTGCCATGAGGACATTGAAGCGCAACTCGTAATTGTGCTCGTTCTCTTGCTGAAGCAGATTGAAGATGGTGGTGAGTGCCTGGAGAGCGAGTGCAGGGCCGTGAACTGGCGAAGAGGTGACGGGCTTCATGAGATTGTCGCAAACTCGAGGGAGGAACATGCCGACATGATCAGATTGCAAAACCAGGTAGATAAGCAGGTTATAGTTGGCAGTAAACTCTCTCTCAGGAACCGAGTGCAGAGAAGCAGATGCGATGATCAGCTTCTTGAGCACCTCATCTTGCTGATCCTTCTCGTCCTTCTCAATAATAGACTTGACGTCGTCGCCAACGTTGAGGTGGTTAGCCAAGTCCTGAGCTAGCTCTGCAAAATTGCCGTCGACGAAAGCATACTGCTGACGCGATTCCTGCTGCTCCTCTTGAGCGGCCATGTTGCACTCGGAAATATCGTCAGAAGACTCTTCAAGCAGTTCCTTAGGTTGCCCCTCGATTACGCGCTCAGCAATTAGCTCTTCGAGTCGGTGGGTTACGTAGTTGAGAAGCGCTTGAGTGAGATCGACGTCCTTGTATTCGTCACTTTCGTCGCCAGAGTTGTTCTTGTTATCCTCGTTAGGCTCTTCGTAACCACCACTAGAATCGTCGCTCGGATCGTCTTCGGGTTTGGGGGGAAAAAGTGGTGAGGTTGATGTAGAAGAAATAGCTTGGCTGGAGATAGAGAAGCGTTGGATTGGCCTGTGGTTCTGTTTCTTGGAGGGTTTGCGGCGACGGCCACTGCGTGTTCCAGCTTTGAGTTCTTCTTCGCTGTCGTTGTCGCGAAGTGCAAGCTGAAAATACAAATTCGGTGGTGCCGAAATGGCGGGGTTATTATTCTTAGGGGCCCACATCCTCAAGAAATTGGTAGTAGTAGCAGATTTGTGGATTGTTTAGCCGAAGATTATCCGGCGCTAGGCAAGATTTTTTTTCCGGTCTGTAAGGCAGATGGACAGACCTGAGTGGGGCCGTTGCTTAGTGGGGCCGTGGCGGGAGCACCCAGACTGGAAGCTTTGGAGTTATGGCGGGTGCGCGGATAAATCTCGGACGCTGCAGTGGGTACAGGTCTCGGATAAACCCTGAGTTGCAGGTATGGTAAGTGCACTCGGATAAACTTTAAGCCATTGTTTGTACAGTTTTAAAGCTTCGATGGAAAATGATTTTTCCACTCAAGCATCCATGCATGTGACTGTTTGCACGTGATTGGATCTGAACAATTTAAATTTATGATAAGATTAACCCACCTTTCCAGTACTTAGGTACATTATACCTAACTACTTGTTTAGGTAGGCTTAGATTAAATTTACTCTATGTACGAAGTACATAATGGCTATTACCAGAACCACATATCCTTCACCCATCCCACCAAACAGAAGACCTATGAATTTGATATTATAGTACTTTTGAAGACTTAATCAGAGTTGTTTTCGCATGTAGGAGCACTGTAAGTCTATGGGATCTATTTAACTACTTAAGTGTTTATTCAAGTCATTATATATATGAGTGTTGTTTTTACCTTCTATCAACAAGTTGTGCTAGAACGATTTTTTAAATTTCACAACCCTCTTTCTTATCAACAGGTAATCAACTAATAGACATGCGACTTAGTAACTACCTAGGTAACTAATTGAAACCTTAAAGTTAAACACTTCAGAGATAGCTTACCAATTTCTATCTAATGATAAATATTGGTGTAAATCCCTGAGTCAGCAACATGAGTAGCAGAGTGTATAGTGATTAGTTTACAACGGCGATAGATAAGATCGCGCGCTGCCCGTCGCTATCGTTCTTTGAATGTCACTACAAGTCTAACCGTGACACCAATACACTCCTAGATGTTAATACTAAGTTCTAGTAAGCTTAGGTGATGATTAATCTTATGTATATATACCTTCTCTCGTGTGGGGTGAATATGTAGTGCCAGGCTTAATTCCAAGTTTGTCATAATAGAAGTTAAGCTAAGGTTTTTAGGGGAAGGGATGACATAGTAAAAGAACAAGGGACGGTTGAGACATCTGTTAAATGCAACCAAGAAAGTATTTCTATCAGTTAATGTATTAGGTATTGTATCTTTGGGTATAAATGCCACGCCAAGTCACTTACAGATGATATCTTACTTCATACGGGTTATATCGTTCTTAACATCTAGATGTAGGCTTGGTGCTCTTGTTGCTAGTTGTTTCGACTAAATGGCTCTTGAGGGTACTGTCTAACTAATCTAAAGTAGCAAACCAGAAGCCAGTTACCACTGGTAACTTACCAGTGTCGGAAATAGATGATATACCAACCCTAGCGCTCGTATGACTTTAACTCGCACAACCCTAATAAACGCCGAACGTTACACGTTGAGATTGGTCCGCGTTATGGTTTAGTGTAGAAAAGCATAACATACGTGTAAATAGTAAATGTATCGTGACGTGCCGTTACGCGGCGGATTGACATCTAATGTGGACGATTTGAACGATTGGCTCTGTGAATCAGCCAGCCACCAGCCCACTTTCCCAATTGAGACAGTCAAGTTCCCTTTTGCGAACCCCTGGACGTACCTAGGCATGTAAGGCATGGAAAACATGTAAGGTGAAACGGGTTGCCCTGCGTCTCCACGAGGTCCAGGTCCTTTAGCCCCGAGGGCCATTCAATTCTTCGAGGTTGGTCCCTGAACTTGAATTGAAGCTGTATGTAACATATGATTCATCGAAGATCCGAAGGTTCTTAAAGATATTGAAATATAAATAGGATTACCTGGTTGATGGAATAAAAGATTATTAGCCTCTTGTCTCAAAACCTACATAGTAAGGATCAAAGACAAATACGTCGATACAATGGAATATGTTCATTTCGTGATGCATTACCGGCATCGGTATCTATCAACACTTTGAGGGGCTATCGCAAACTGGATCTTTAAGGCCTTCACGTCCGAAATCTATATTAGGGTTGAACTATGCATATGGAATGGCCAAAAGCGGGAGAAGGATTATCATTAGGCTGACGGAAAGATGGCTCTTTGAGGTGTGATGACGAGAGCTACATGTATGTAATATTAATATTAAAGGACCTGCTATGATAACGCCAACATACAATACCGACTTAAACCCTCTCCTTTTTATTGACCAGATTGTTTTCTGACATGACAAATTTTTGCTTTTGAAATAGATGCTGTCCATAAATATATAATACATTACCACAATTTAGAAAATTAATCTACAAGAACGCACGACATTAGCTTACCGATCTTCAGGAACGGGGGTCGAGTGTGAGGGCCGAGCTTAATCGATAGGTGGAAAAGGACCCGTCATGCGACCGTTTGGCCCCGACATCCCGAGTCTTGAACAAGTACCAAAGAAACTGCGCCTACGCTTGTGCCATAGTAGGAATTGGCTTGCACTTGCCTATAACTTTCCTAAGTTTCAGCTGAATAATAAATAAAGAGGCGTGATTTTCAACTTTAGGCTTGCCAAGAAAATAACAAGTTACGAAGCAATTGACAAACAAACAATCCAGGACGCAACATCGCTGGAGGCCAAAATACCACCATATTAGAGGATATTAGAGGGGGGATCTCCCGACAACTATCAAACCTCGTCTACTAGGTTTTTCTTTCTTCCTAAAGGCACCCAAGGAAAGCATTTAAGAAAAAAGCAGCCGGTTTCTTAAAGCTTGGGAACCATCCGGATTCATGCGCTGTTTCTAATACCACTTCTTCAGAATAGCCAAGATTAATTACTAGTGTGAAGCATCGCACCCCGGCTGGCGATCTGACGCGCCCTAAGCGTTAGTGATACAAATACATAAGAGGCGGCAGCGAAAGACAGTATTGGTATCCGAGGGAGCCCCGGTGGCAACTCATCATGTTTGACCGTTTACGAAGCTCCTCAAAGGATCAGGGTGCGCCGGCGATGGATAGGAAGAAGCTCGAGGCCTGGCAGAAATCACGCTCTCAGGGCGTAAAGGGAGGAGACGCGCATTATCAGTATTCCATCAAAGGAGGAGCACCTCCGCCCCCGAGGCCGCCGAGAGAACCCGTCTACCCGGCCCAACGGTAAGCCTTTATTCTTATTTTGGGTGGTATATTCACAGTTTGGAATCGCCTGGTTTAGCCATGAGGAATGCGGGAACGATAGTACGTCGGCGGGCGACGGCCTCCTGCACGTTGTAATAATCACATGCATTTCCCGGTTCATCTGGTCTGTTTGTGTTAGCGAATTGGAGGATTGGATGAACAAATTCGGTCGACTTGAGACGAAAAAAAGGAGCTGAAGAGGATCATAATCCTCGCACCGCATTCGTCAGATTCGTCAGATTCGTCATACATGTCGCCCTCCTCCTATTCTACATCGCATTATTTGATCTACGAGACGATGCTAACGTCACGATACCGCAGTCAGCAGAATCGGCAAAGTTTCCAACCCGCACCCCCCGTACAAGCGCCGAACCAACATCGCAATTCGAACTACCCACGTCCCGCATCCTCCGTCTACTCACAACCTTCGCCGGCCGCCGCTACCTTCGCTGCTCAACAGCTGAGAGTTGAAGTCCCGCCTTACAATCAGCCTTATAATCCAAACGAAGTTTCCCCACCAAGTTCCCCTGACGCCTTTTCACCACAGGACGAGTAAGTGCGATCATTCCTTTTTTTCTTAGGCGTATTGGAAGAGAATGGAAACAACTATCTATGAGAAAGAGCAAGGAGAAAGGGAGAAGGGGCAAATAGGAGCGAGTCAGTAGCATGGAAAGATGGACTGGTGGTGACTGTATTTGGTATCATGCCTTATATCACCACTGTCAATCAGACATATCACCTCTCCAATTCCCTGTCCTCTGTGTCATGAACTTGGCGCTCTTTTTGGGAGTTATTTTTGGAAAGACGTCCCTACCTCTTAAAACGTCAATTGATACAAAACCTTTGGATACATCATGAAGATCAAAAGCTTTTTCTGTTTAAGCAGAGACGTCATGAGGTTTAAGCTAATGTCCCTCTTCTGTTTCAGGCCCAATCCAGGTGATGTTTCTCCTATCGACGATATCCCAGGCATGTCTCAACTCGCCGTAGACCCTCGGGGTCCCACAAAGAATGAATCTCGCACCAACATTCCAGCAACCCGTCGCGAGCGTCGGAAGAACTCGGACGCTGCCATGAATGCTCTTCGAGAGGCCAAGTCTCGTGAGAGGCTAAAGCAGCAGCGGCCGTATGGCCACGATGTGCGCTGGGACCCGGATACCGGGGAACCTACTACAGATACGAAGGGTAGACCATCGCAAGTAAATCCGCATCAGTATGTTCAGGGCCTCGGTGATCGCCCAGGCTCGGTATCTCCGCCACCAGCCAAGCCGGCTCACCAAGGCCCCATTTCCTTTGGCGACCGTTTGCGTCGAATACGACAAACCAGCGGTAGCCCTCAACCTGAATCAGCTCCACGACCGGCATGGCGAGGGGCTAGTGGTCGAACAACCCTCGTTGCACCTGTGAACGACACGAAAGACGTGGCTCCACTGCAGCTACCTCGAAAAAGTAGCAAACGAGCCGCCCGTGAGGCTGGTGCTTTAGCTCGTATTGACTCTGTCGATTCCGAAATTACTTCCCAGCCGCAATCGCCTAGTATTGCAGTCACGAATGCAAACGCCAATCCGCATACGTATCCAAGCTCACCCCTTTCAGACGATAACATGGCCGGCAATCCTCCTCAGCAATCTCTGCGAGTCCCATCGAACGACAAGGCAGTTCGTAGGAAGCCAACAGGTGCCCCCGGCCACCAGCCCCAGCAGTCAACCTCCTCATCCGTATACTCCCAACAAGAAATCCACCCAACCCAGACACCACCTCCTGACACGTCCCTGGAAGGTTGGACGCAACCGCCCTCTCGCTTCAGCGTCACCACATACGCAACATCAGACCAATCAACCCATAGGGAGAGCATAGAAGAGGACACGCCGCCGGTGCCCGCTCCCTCAGGGCCCTCGATCCTTGACCGCAAGCGTCCGGTAGTCTCAGGCTATGATAACAACTTCCCACGAAAAAACAGTCCCGTGGAACCCGTCAAGATTAGCTTAGATTCGTACTACATGACGGGGGCCGGAAGCAATGTCAAAGGCAGCAGCACCAGCAGATCCAACATCAAGAACAAGACCATCAATAACATTAGCCTCCACGACAACAGTTCGAAGCTTTCAATTACATCGACAATGGATAAATCCCTCCCCCCAGCACCACCCGAGACGCAGTCACTGGAAGCTCAGGATCGCGTGGCGCAGCTAGACGCACGGTTACGGGCGCTGGGTAATCGACGCATCAACCTAAACACTGCGATCAAGCAGATGACGGAGCTTATGCCGACGGACCACATCCTGGCGAGCGAGGCGGTGGCGCGACGGCGCGAGGAAGAGAAACGCAAAGTGGAGACGCTGCGACTCGAGCTGGCCGATGTCGAGCGCGAGAGCTATGATCTTGGGCTAAAGCTACACCGCGCCTATAAAAGACTCGATCGCAATGCAGAATACGAGCCGACCACGTTGTGGGTGAGGAGGGTTACGGGGTAGTAGGACCAAAGTTAGGGGGTAGAGAAGAGGGGAATATAGGTTATTAGGCGGGCGTAAGGGTGATGGTAGCAAAGGTGTTGGTAGCGAGATTTACGCCGTTGAAGAAGCACTGGATTGCTCGCCTTCCGTAATACGATACCCAGAACGAGTTGAGACTTTCCCTACTGGAAGGGAAACGGAGATGATAAGTATCCTCGAGTTTTATTTATTGAGCTTTTTTGGTCGTTTGTTTTCCGAAATAGGGGCGGTCTACAGGGGCGCCATGCCATGCTATGCTACGACTACGGTACGACTACGTCACGCTTCGTCTTAAATTCTTTTTATTTCGGGTTATTTTCACCGGTGGCTTTCCGTCCTCGTTCCCCTACTATCCGAGGAGAAGAGCGGGGCCAGTTGAGATTAGGAGGAGAGGAGAGGAGCCATCGAGATACCTATGTACGTACCTATGTAGTAGGCACACAGGTGGAAGCATGGCGTTGTACGACATGTTCATTTATGTGGTTTGTTTGATGTCTGGTCCCCGCGGGGCGAGGTCAGTGTAGGATAGGTAGAGAGGAAGGTCGGGCAAGGGTAACGAAAGGAAGTGTAATCGTAAATATGAATGCGAATGAGTTTAAACATTTGAGTAGTATGCCTTGTAAGTGGATGTATGTAGATGAATGCAGTTTGCAGTTTGCATACGAGCAAATCTAAAGGGGTTATACAAATAGGGTATAAGGAGAAAAGACGCAGTGAGAGTTCAATTAGGTCCTAGAGTGACTTCTCCTTTTTACTTCTTGCTTGTCTCCTTATGTATACTGATGTAAGTCCCGTTGTTCCCTTGTTTTTAGACATGCACGATTACCTCGCAATATTGCTGAGATTCACTACACTTAGCTGTTCTCTTTCGTAATACCGCCAGTGCAGGATACATCATGGACATTGGGTAGCAAAAAGAGGCATGTAAATGTAGAGAAAGAGACTGTAGTCTGTTCTGGCGGAGAGACAAACGAAGGGCCATCATATATATAACAGGTAGGCATGGCATGAAGTACTTATTGGAATTATGTATAACTAATTAGCGTTTTCAACTAAGCTCAGTCGCGAATTAAACCTGGCTACCTCTTAATCTAAGGTAGGTATGCAATCACTACTAGGTACTATGACTACTAGGTATTATAGGCCAGTCCCCTTTCTGCGCATCCATGCTGAGTATCTCAACAACGACTGACCGCCAACGAACATATCTAGATACGTTAGAATCATGTGTGCCCGTCCGCCTAGGTATTTTTTTCCACGCCTGCCTCCTCGCCTTGTGCTCCCTCTCCCTCTCCCTCTCTCTCCAAAACCAGATCGATATGGCCTTTGGGGTGTTTAATTAAATACAATTCGCAAAAAAAAAATGTACGTCGCGCCTTGCAATAAAGCTAGAAAAGTAGGTAGGCAATGCATGCAACCGCGGGCACAACGCCTCGTACTAATACAATATGATCATAATGCACAAACTTTTAGGCTTATTTATGAAATAGAAAGCCTCCTTAGGCCAAGTGATGATGATATGGCCAATGGCCTTTTCATCCGCGTTCCGAGCTTCGATTATCGCGAAGGTACTTCGTCTTTTTGATCCGAGATTCTAGAAAGTTTAAGGGAGTCCGTGACCTTATCCTGCTAGACCCTTCGAACTTGTAGGCGTATTGCTGGCTCTGCGGGGTGGTAGACTCGCGGGTATATCTCCGTCTGAGTCGGTGTCTGAAGAGTCGTCCTCGTCTACTACTACGGGGGCTGACGCTGAGCCGCTTCGTTGAGTAGTAGATCCTTCCATCGTGGTATCTATTGGGGAAACTTGGTTTGGTTGTGAGAGGTGAGACGAGACCCGGTAACCTTTGCGTTGTAATGATGAAAGGCTGGTCTGTGTAGGCGACTGCTGCTGCTGCTGCTGCTGCTGCTGCTCTGAAGAAGGTTTCGGTAGTGTAGGGTCGGTGGTGGTTGCTGTTGCGCTCGAACCGCCTAACCCAGCTGACATATCCGCTACGGGTATATGATAACTCTTAGGTTCGGGACCATTGCTACTTGGAGGAGCCTGGGGATTTGGATAAGAAGGGCCATCGTCAGTTCGTTGACGCTTCGCGCTTGGTGTATCCTCTGCCTGGCCGGGACTGCTATGCTTGAAGCCCATACGTTGACGCTCGTCATCAATCTCGGCCTTTGTCCGCCGGTTTCTAAGCCGGACGCCGTACTTCTTCCTAATGATACTCTGTTTAGTGCTGAAGCTATTCTGCAGACCATCGATCTTGAGCTGTCGTTGAGCTGGATCTTGTATCGCCTCTGCTTCTTTGATGCGAGCGGTATACGTGGCTTCAGCTTGCTGCAGTTCTTCCTCTAGTCTTTCCCGTGTAGCAGGATGCAGATGGGCATACGGATCCTGCTCCTTGGGCAGAGATCTAGGAGTCGATACTGGCCGATGATGTACAGGTGTTGCAGTTATAGGTGTTGCAGTTATAGGGGTTGCAGTAGGCTTAAGTGTGGCACGGAACCTTTGCTGGCTTCCTGGGGGGAACGTTAGAGTAGATGGAGGCTGAACTGGGCTGTTGTTGCCTGACGAGAGCGTGATAGGCGATCCAGCGTTCGCCGGTCTTTTAGGCGTTGCTGGCATAGTACCATGGTCACCGCATACATGATTAGCAAGATGCTGTCGTTTATATTAGCCATTTGTTTACAAGGTCAACATAGATTCACTTACATATTGCTGACCAACTTTGGTAATGAAGCCGGCACCACAATATACGCATGAAAAGGGGAATCCTTCCTTATTGGGAGGTTCTTTAGTGCATACTTGCTTTTGAACATGCTATATTTGGGTTAGTACTAGACCTGTGTAAGGGGGTTGATTAAGACTTACATATTCGTAAGGCTGTGGATTATCAAACTTGCGCCAGCACAGAGGACACTGCAACACGGTGGGAACAGGAGTCGGAGGAGCACGTGCCAGTACTTGCGGCTGGGTCGGCAAGCCAGGCTTATGGTGTGATTTAGAGATAGGCGTAATTTGGATGGGGTTGGGTGACGGATCGAAGGGTGCTGGATTGAATCTAGACCTGTTTCCTTTCCGGTCATCGAGTATATCGCTATTCTCATAACCAAGACGCTCAGCGCGAGCAAGGGCGTTGATGAGAGAACGTGCGTCAATACTCCTCAGTCGTTTCTCCAGCGCCTGATCTAAGAAGTAGTCGCTGGCCTTTTCGAGTATGTCATTGGCCAGTTCATTCAGGTCAGCAGTTGAGAGGTGAGAGACAATCTCGTGCTTTGATTCGGACACCATCTTGGCACCAAAATCCTTAATAGACCGTCGAATTATAACCCCGTTGGAGTGATGAATAACAGCGTTCAGCTAGTAATATGTTAGTAATTGAAGTTTAGACTTTCAAGTCTCGCGTATATAGAAATGTAAGTGAAGCCTGTTCTTGGGTTGAAGGCGCAAGGGTCCTAGGGGGTCTAGGGGATAGGGGCGACGCAAGACAAATAAATGTTAATGCGCCAAATGATATTGTGGAAAAGTACGAAATTTATAGGAATGCATAGTCCTCTAGAGATCACTAAGAGCTCCAAGTAGCTGTAGATCTTGTGATATATTCCCGGGGATGCGAAACCAGTTGAATGCATTTTAGGAAGCGCAACGTCAGAGGGAGATAATAGCCGACAAATAACAGCTAAGAAACGTGCTAGGAAGGATGGAGTGTCACTTAGTAGTAATGACGAGTAATATGAGAATAAAGAGGTTGAACAATAGGGCAGTATAGTTGAAACATAGCTGAAAGAGGAAAATACACTTACAAGGAACGCGTGGTGGAATTCTGAACCAAGTAGGCACTTCTCCCAGTTATCGCGAATGACCCTTCTCACAGCAGCAGGAACAGATTGCTGCATAGCATGAGTGAGACGAGATAAGTCATCGGTAAACTTTGGATTCTCGAGATGGTGTTCTCTTCGGGGAGACGGGAAGCCCTGAGTAGGAGAGACGTTTGGTAGCTGCGGGTTGTTGCTTCTCGGTCGCGAATAGGCTCGAGGAGGATCTACGATAGAAATCTTATGTGTGGATCCTGTGGAAGGCTGGCGCTGCAAAGGTTGACGCGGTTGAGAATGAGGATGCGGCTGCGAAGGTGTATATATTACCATTGGTTTGAGTGGTTTTGCTGCTATAGTTGGGAGTGTAGGGGTACGAGTAGGAGCAGGAGCCGGAGGTGGTGCCGACGTACTTGCCGCTACCGCCGCCACTGCCCGGGCTGCCAATACCGGTGTTGCAGTTGCTGTCGGGGACGGCGCTGCCGGTTGAACGGGTGTTGTCGAATCGGATGACCCTCTTGCCGGAGGCGTAGGTTCCGAACCGTTGGCCGCATCCCCGTTAAGTCCATTAATACTACGAGGGAGACCGTTCGGGTAGTGCGTTGCAGGGTTTGGCGGAGGGTTAACAACTGGCTGGTTACCTGGCGACGGAGCTTGCACCTGTACGGGCGATGAACTAGACGCGGGAGGCGCTGCAGCTGTTACAGCTGTTGCAGCTGATGCAGCTGATGCAGCCGGTGCTGATGGCGGTTGTGCTTCCATAGCCGCACAGTTGGATTGCTAACATTAAAATGTGGATGATTCCTTAAAGGGTCCACGCGCCGCCTTTGTACATAAAATTGGTGGTAAATACTGTTGTACTTAGAGGCTTACTTGGTGGGGACGCGCTCTATAAATTTTTTTTCTTTCCCTTTTTTTTTATAATCCTATAATGAGCGACTGGCTGCACCTTTTCTGGTTTTTGTCCACCTAAAGATCCTCTTTACTTGTTGCGTATTATTGGTGCCTGGTAGAACAATTAGCGCATGTATTCATCTGACCGCATAGCATGTTATTATCCAGGTACTTACTGTCCCTGGGGAAAAAAGTCTAACAGGCTCTTTTTTTTAACAGTATTCGAACGTACCAACACCAACAGGAATTGAATTTAATAAACGAACAGCAAACGGACAAAATAAAAAGGATGCCCGGGACTATTAAAGTCTTTTTTAACTTGTGGGCCCACATAATCTACATTATTAGTAGCTGATTTTACCTCCGATTAGTGCTAATTAAATAAGGAAAGTGGATGTACTTAATATTTGAGCAACTTATAAATGGCCCACGCTTAAAGAGCAAGCTCGCCCATGATTGGCCTGTACTCCATCCTGCTACGCGAAAGGTGTGACATTGGCCCTTTTTAACATGGGAAGCCCCAAATGTCTTAACCCGGATGGATCAATAAGGTTCCAGTACAATCCACGTTCTTTTTTAAGTACCTGAGGGTATCCTTTCTTCTTTGCGACCGGAAAGCTTATTAAGTACATTAGGTACATACTTAATGTAAGTAACACCTGGGCATATTAGGTTAAGTTAGGTACTGTACCTCATGCAGACAATTTTTGATTTATTAATATAACCCTCAAGCATTGCGTGACATCTCCTCAACTGCTATGTACGTAAGGTATATTATATTTCATGTGTACGGACTGCGCTCCGAACTCTTAATTTATAGGTGCCTAAGGTAATGCTTCGATGTCCATATAAGTAAGTGTTCATATCTAACTGCGGTGCGATGCATTACAAACAAACCTGTACGTCTCTTATAAGAGGACAATTTGTTGGGTCTCGGGAAATAGTGTAAGACAACAGAGAACTAACCTAGACGCTAGGACTGGATCTTTTATTGAACAGGCCATCTTATCCCATCCGAGATGGGCTTCGAAGAAATTATCTAGTTACACGATCATACAACCCGGTTTACGGCTTGCTGAAGAGGGCTAAGAGGATAGATACAAAGTGCTCATATATCATTTTCATATATCGGCCCAGTTTAGGCTGTTTATAAAGTTCATTTGATAAATGAACATGCATCTGCCTAACGAGAGATAGGTATTGTTGAGCTTATTAGGAAGGGGAAATTAAATAACGATTATATGACTGGTCAATTTATTTTTTTACCTAGTTCATCCAAAACGCGGGTCCGCGATCCTGCAGAAATTCCCGATTCCCGTCCTCGCTGTAACACAAAGTCAGCTCATCTTGCTCTCACTCATTCAGTTTCCCGGGACTTTGAATTGGTACTGCTCCCCGCGGTCAAGATAAACAACTCGCTTACTCCACCCCTCCTCGTCAACTTTCTTCTTAAAATCCGATAGAGGCGACAAGAAGACATTATAATCATCGTAATGAATCGGGATGGTCACGTCCGGGTTCATGAGCTGCATCAGCTTCAATCCTTGCTCGGCATCCATCGTCACCATTAAAAGGGGTATTGACGGGCTCGGAATTGTCGTGCCGCCCAAGTGCACCAGCATGAGGTCAATCTTCTCGTTCTTAAGCCGCTTCGGAATTTCCTTTAGTTCGTCTACAAATAACGTGTCTCCCGAGATATAGATGCGGTAACCCGTGTCGATGGAGCCCGAGTCGCCTCCGGTCGGGGCCGTAAAGCTATAACCAAGCTCGATAAGCCATCCGTTCGTTGGCGGCACGGCTTTGAGGAGGTCGTTGGCCATAGCGAGCGGTCCCGGAGGCACGTGTTTCCCCGGCATCCCCGTTACCTTGATGACTGGCACCTTGCCGTACCCACCCGCACGAGACGGGTCTTTGCGGTCAATGTGGAGTATCATGCTCTCGAAGAAATCTAAATCGTGCACAGACTGGAACGGATCCTCTTTGGTCTCGCCCGAGAGGCATTCCTTAGCATGCGGAGTCGTTATGATATCGAATGTCCTGTTCAGCGATTTTTCAACGAGCTGGTCAAAGTGATCCTCGTGGTAATGAGACAGTAGGATACAGTCAATTGCTGGCAGGTCATGTAAATCTACCGCCGGGTTTGTCTTCCGCTGAGCGGTCACTCCTGGACCCAAATGCACGTGGTCGCCAGCATGCAAGAAGTTGGGGTCAGTAAGGATTCGAAGTCCTTGCCACTCGATCATCGTTGTTGCTGTACCGATAAAGTATACACTTGCATCTTCATTATCCTTAGACCCTTGAGGGTCGGTATGAACCTTTTTCACCGGTAGTTTCGTGGCGTCTTCATTAGGGGCCGTTTGATCTTTGAGCAAGGGTTGCCTCTTCAATGGATCAAGATGGAGGTGGCGCATCGAAGTCATCTTGAACCGCGTAATTTTATTGATCAATCACTTTTAAAGCATTGTTTAGTTAATCAATGCGACCCCCCAAGAGTAAGCGAACTATTCTATAAACAAGCCTCTATCATGACGTGGACCTTCACACTAGATGATGTAATATATCTTTCAATCGTCACGAACTCCTTATACGTACTAGTGTTCTACCGGTCAGGATTAATGCATCAAGTTGTTCCCTATCTTTCAATCATAGGTTTCTATATGAGGTAGGTATGAAGCAATTCTATTTTGTACCTAGTTAATGTTAATTATGAGATACGTAGCAGGTTGCATTCCAGTGTCTGGTATATGTTGTTCTCAACCATCAATTTACGGTTATGGGATCGGGCAAATCACTTCTAAACAATGGGTACGAATCTAATATTAAGCGCACATGGAAATTTTAATGTCTAAGAATTCTCATTAGACTTTATAAACGCAACGCAAATGTCATTGACTATGAGCTATCCTCGTGAGACTGCTAATCCTAACTAAGCTAGCGAGAACTTTGCATATATAGGTCACTGGTAGGTAGTCCCTATGAAGCTGTTTTTACTTCAAATAGGCTAGGAAGAAACCTGCCTAAATGGAAGTTAAACTTCTTAGACCCTTGTTTAAATCCTCAGAAACGCGAGCTTCAGATTCCATATCCTTCCTCCTCTTATCCCTAAAGCATCAAAGGGTATCTGTGCTGCAATTGCGGGGCTACACCAAACAAATAACTAACGAAAAAGAAACAGGCCATAATCTGCCATAATCTGCTCAAGTTACACGCGTACCTTGTCCTCATCCTCAACGCAGATCCTATTTAGGTTTACTTCTACTTTCGATATTTCCTCTTTGGGCTTTCGAGTTGGAACTCCCCAAATGTAGGCGAGACCATCTTGTCGGCTTCTTTCGATGTCTGCTCTGTAGCCTGGGTAGAGGATAGATTCGGCGAGGGCGGTAGTACGATGCGTCTCTTCGTAGTATGTCGGTCGCTCGAGAGTTCTTTAGTGAACTTGGTGTTTCCTTTAGTGTTGGTAACGTTCTTGAGTACGCGCTTGGACTTGCCGTCGGCGTCGTTAGAAGAATCATCGCTTTTGATGGCAATCGGGTTGCTGTTGCTACCCTTGTTAGTAGTGACCTTCACTGACTCACGGATCTGAGGAATAAGACGAGGCTGAGGTCCGCTCTCCTAGAACAGATCTCTCATTTTCTGTGGGTCTTTATCGAGTCTCTCAGCCATCGCCGTGAGCTTTTCATCAATACGGTCAGCCCAGCGATCGTAGGAGGATATACCCAGTTGCTTGTGACGGTGGGTTGGCAGTGGATTTCCCGAGTGTGCGAGCCCCCAGAAGGCCTCGACTATCTTCGTCGCCATACGTGGTTGGTCTTTCTTTAGTTCCTTCCTTTCATATTCAGTATCCGGAGGGCCCTGCTCATCAACATAGTCCTGATGGTAGACGGGTGACACGCGAGAAGCGAGCAAGTAATTGATCATGAGAGCTCTGTCTTGTGCGAGATCAGCTATCCGCTTCAAGATCTCCTCGTCTGGGAGAGAAGCGAATTCCGGACGTAGGCGGGTACCTTTGAACTGCTCCAAGTCATCCTTCTCGCGGCTCAACTCAAAAGAACAGATGAACTCATCGATATTACGCATATAGACGTTGTAGATGGTTGGTACCCGAGGATATGCCCTGGGATATGACCAATCGAAAGTCGATACTTCATTGAACTTCAACTCGAGCTCATTGAGGTTAGGCATTTCGTTGAAAGGCAGAGCACACCCCCGTATAGGCGTACCCCGTTCGGCGCAATTAGCGAGCAGTGGATAGTCACTGGCCATGATTGATCTAATCGCTCTCCTCGAAGAGAACTCGGCCTAATCAACTCGGTGGTAGATCATGCAGAAGAGACGATGAGTATCATCAACGATGGAAAGTGTGTAGTTTATATAGGTAAGGTAGGAAATACTAGAATCAATACTAGTGACGATGTTCAATTTCTTCGGGAAGGTGATACTGCCACGAATGATATACAGATACACTGACGAAGTTCCGGTTTCTCTAGAGAAGTCACGTACATGTAGTTCGGAAGGTACTACTTACACTTTATGAGTCTCCGGTCTTTGATAGGTCTCTTGAACCAGTGCGCTACGGCAATGACAGACAAATGCTCCTTCTTGTAGGAAACGGCGTTGTCACATGTATGTAGTAGAGTCAGAGGGATGTAACTTCTTTTTATTTCATTTATCATTTTTCAGGTCTATCGTACCTGACGCTCAATCTGACACTTGACTAATTTATCCGGTAGCTCTTTCTTAGTGAGGTATGTACCTAGATACATATGTAGATACCTAAGGTAATATCCAATCTGCTATATTATTGTACCTAGGTACGAAGGTTGGGGCCAAAAGTTCCGCACATGTCTAAATCTTGGCACCGTATTTTATACGTTTTTCGACTTATTGGTACTGTATTAGCCACACGCTAAGCTGAAGGTCGGATAGTGGCTCGTTCACTAAGTTTAGGTGGCTTACCACTATATTTATAGCGATATCAGCCACTATAGCTTAAATAAGACCGTATAACCTCTTTTTTATTCGCACGTGGCTTTGCCAAGCTTAGATGTGCGAAACTTTTGGCCCCAACCTTCGTACCATGCCCCTATCTAGACCCGCCAGCTGGCCCTGCTTCGACCACTCGACCGGCATCTAATCTAATAAAATAATCGGCATCTTTGACCGCTTCTAATCTATGAGCAATCGTGATAACAGTACTATCCTTTAATTCTGCCAAAAGGACATCTTGGATTGCGAGGGCCGTTTTCTTATCAATCGACGCGGTTGCCTCATCCAAGATGATAATAGGGCTTTTCCTGAGAATGGCCCGTCCGATACCCACGAGCTGACGTTGGCCCTGGCTAAGATTCTTCCCACCAACATCAATGATCGAGTCCAGAGACCATTCCGGCCCTAGGACACGGAGTAATGCCTCCTTGCGTTCATCATCCGAATGTTGCTCCAGTGGATCTAGGTTCTCTCGGATTGTGCCTGGGAATAGTACGGGGTCCTGCGCCACGAAACTGATCCGTTGGCGCCATGTATGTACGTCAACTTTAGAGATATCCTGGTCACCAACGCGAATCTGCCCTTTTTCGGGGTGCATCGTTGCCAGAAGGGCGAGGGCTAGTGTAGATTTACCGGATCCCGTTCGGCCTAAAACTGCGCAGGTCGATCCGCTAGGAATTGTAAAGGAGACATCAACTAGCGAAGGCTCAAGATGCGGTGCGTACTTAAGCGTCACCGAATCGAACGTGATGCTGTCCTGATACGAAGGCCAATACGCAGGGGGTTTGATATCTCCATTGGGCTCCTCTTCTAGATCCAAAAGCTCAGCAACTCTCTCCACGGATACGAAATCCATCTGAAGTTGACCATATGTTTTACACAGAACGTGAGTAGCCTCAACTAGCTGGGCAGCACTCGTGAGCACGAAAGCCGTTAAGCCGGGGGATAGTCCTTGAGCCAAGGCTAGTATCGTCAGGGCAAATATAGAGAAAGCGGATAGTAGATCATATCGGAGTTGGAGCCATGTTTGCAAGCTCCAGTAGAAATGATCCATTTTCTGAAACATGTCGGTAGCGACAATGTTACGGTTCTGGAAGTCTGACTGCGCCCTAAAAGCTCGAATGGTGGCTAGACCGTCAACAAGGATACCGAAATTTGACATTAACGGACTTAGGGTCACCATTTCTAGCCGGCGCAGGCTCTGTGAGGTCGGCAAGAATCGCATGAAAATGGCAATAAACCAGGCTGTCATCCCAAGTGCGACAGCAAAGAATATTGGCGTCGTTAGAGCGATGACGACCAGAGAGCTTAGCCATGTTAGAGACCAAAGAGCAAAGTTCTGAAGCGGATAAATGACACCACCGTCCAGCATGCCAATATCAGAAGTCAAGCGGTTCATCAAACGTCCAACTGGAGTAACATCGTAGAAGCGGAATGTCGCACGACTTACTCGGTCAACGACCCTGCCGAACAAGTTCCTGGATGCCCTATATAGGATGACGGTAAGACCACACTGTGTCAAGACATACAGTATGGTCATAAGTAGCCCAAGGACGGCATACCACGCAAGCCATGGCCTGACATCATCTTCAGGGCTTGGTAACCCGTCGAAGATATGGTCTGCCATATCAGAGAGGCCCATAGAGGACTGTGCCTTAATTCTTTCGTACGCTTCGCCCCACGCCTTGAGAAACCAGTAATTGAACACACGGGCGAACCGGAAAAGGGAGAAAATCCCAATAACCGCCAGCCACCATGTCACACCCCCTGCTTTGATATATGTCCAATAAACTTTGGCAACTACACCGCCTGATGCGCGAGTTTCGTCCTCGATGAATTTGTCTGGAATTGCAGCATTCGCTAGCTCTTCGGTGACCACCTTGGCTTCATCCTCAGCAGCGACATCGTGCGTTTGTGATGGCATATCGACTTCTCTAGGATATTCATCTGGGTCAGGGATGCGAGCTTTGCCATCCACAATTTCGACTACTTGATCTGCGAGCGATAGACATAGGTCAACCCGATGCGTAACTAGTACAACTGTGCGGTTGTCCAAAAGGGACCCACGGAATAGTTTGCGGACAATAGACTGAGCTGTTTGATGGTCGAGTGCAGCGAGAGGGTCGTCGAGTAGTAAGATTCGAGATCGACAGTACACAGCTCTTGCTAGCGCCACCCTTGCCTTCTGACCTCCCGAGAGGCCGATGCCATTTTCTCCGATATTGGATTTGTCTCCATGTGCGAAATTGGCTAGATCGGGCATAAGTTCACACGCGTCCAGGACTTCATTATATCTAGTCCTGTCTAGAGGGAAATTGAAAAGGATATTATCCCGAATGCTCATGTTCTGAAGCCATGGAGATTGAGAGCAATAGCCTACCATTTCGTTGGGTAGAGTAGAATCGCCCTTGACCTGGTTGAGCTCACCTAAGATAGCATCAAGCAATGCGGTTTTTCCAGCACCGACCTTACCATAAATAAGAGTAAAGCCAGTAGGGAAACGTAAGTTCAGATCTTCGAGAACCAATTTGCCGTTGGTCGGCCACGCAAAGGATGCATCTCGAAACTCGATCTCGGTGTTGGCGTTGTTATAGTCACCCTCTTCTTTGTCCGGTTCATTCATAAATGTCTCTAGACGCCCTATCGCTATAGATGCGTTCAAGAGTACTGTTATTAAGTTAGGCAGTTCTTTCAAGCTAGACTCTAGCATCGTGAAGAGCTGAAGAGCAGGGAAAGCCACATCAACTGGTAGAGGGCGCCCTGCGATATAGGTTACCGCAAAGAAAGTGAACACTGGGAAAAGGGCACTGGCAGCAAGGTTAGAAGCACCGACCCCAATGGTCCATAAGCTGGTGATAATCTTCAAGTGTAGTTCCTTCGCCCGTGCTTGCATGACGTTCCCTAGCCACTTAGACTGCCAATCATACCATCGAAGGGGTCTAATGGCCTCGACAAATTGTGTAGTTGCTTGAAGCCTGACATCGGTCGCAACTCTTCGAGTCTTCTCAACCTTGATTAGTGAACGAACACAAGCGGCGTTCAAAATTTGAAGAACCACTGCCCATGCCAACCCAAGAAGACAAGGCCATCCCAGCAGTTGCCAGATGAGAACCAGGGAGAAAATAAGCTGCAACGGTTTCGTGATGAGGTTTGGGAATTCCCAAAATCGCTGGGCTATCTCATATACATCGTTCCTCATCAAATTGAGGATCTTGCCCATAGTCGCAGGTTGCTCTGGTTTGGTCTTGGCTTTGCCTTGATCCTTAGCTCTGCGAAGTCTTAGGAACTCGAGAAGACGAGCCAAGCGCGTCTTCTTGGGCTTCCTACCAAGCAGCGACGTCTCCTCCCCCGGCTCAATGCTATCATCAACGCCATCGTCTATACCATTCTTTTGAGGAGCCTCACCCAGATCTGTGCGAAGCCCAAATGATTTCCGCGCCAACGTTTTAGCATAAACCGCTGTAAGCAGCTCTCCCCGCGACCGTTCATATGCGCGTCGACTATACCAAAGAAGAAAGACGCCCGACTGGCATGCGACGATACGGACTAACAATATAGCTAACGCGTAGAAGAAGGACTCATCTCTATGAGCGAGGCCTTTCTCGATAGATTGTAGCAAGCGCTGGAGAAGAGCCGGGTTTGAAAGATTAGCCGCTGTCTCTACAAGTCCCAAAAATGTGATGATGATTAAATCCAACCCATTTGCTTTAACCAAACGGTTTATTATAGAACCCTTAAGATCTCGGAATAGTAGATGTAACCTTTCATGTTGAAAATCATATGGTAGTAGCCAGACGTCTTCATCATCCAATCTACTTTTATACCCCCGAGAGATCAGCGGAGACAACCATGAGACAGTCATGAATTGCCATAAGCTCAAGTTATCCTCGGGGCTGCGAAGCTGGGAAGTAGGGGGATAATTAGAATTTGCGATACCCGCTGGATCTAGGTCCGGGTCTCGCATGGGCATTGAGAGTATTAGAAATATAGCGGCGAGCGCCACACCGACAGAGGCGACATGGATAATGTTCACTCGCTCCGTCTCACCGTAACACGACACAAGTGATATTAGACCGCACACGACGGTGGAAGTGAATAGAATTAGTAGAAATTTCGGCGTCTTCCTGGGACGGCTCGCGACCGTAATGAATAGAGCTACGGCCCATGGTGCCAGCTCTAAGATCCTGGTGGTGTTAAATGGCGGTGATATAGCGGTCAGAATAGCCAAAGCAAGTCCGATTGTAGACAAAGCCAACAGGAAGAAAGTCCAAAAATTCCAAGATCTCGTACGGATACCGGGCAATAGTGCGTCTTCTTTAGCAAAGGGACGGGTCCATTGAGGTCCTTTAGAAAATAGACCGCGGGCGGTATATAACAGAAAACAGCAGCCGGCAATTGCCGCCTGCGCGATCGAGGTTCGCGACACGACGTCCATGGAGGTCAAGTCTTGGCGTTTATCCAACGGAGCCTGAGAAGCGAAAAGGAAAGAATGATTGGTCTCTGCAAAAGACGCAAAGAATTCATATTGACTCGTATATAATATACTCATTGCGAGGAACGGGAGAAAGGTGCTCGAGCCGCCGTATCCATAGTTCAAAGGCGAACGGCCCCGCGACTCTAAAAGCGGGAGATCGTTAGCAAGGGCGGAGTTTATTAGTAATAAAAAGGCCAATGAGATTCGTGTTCCCTTCACAAAACGCAAAAAAAAAAAAAAAAAAAAAAAAGTTTACTGGTTGGTCTCTATTGAAGTCTGCCTACATACATTGCTGTTTTGATATGGGATGATTCCAAGGACCTGAACTTAGGCTCAACACGTTTTAGTTTGCAGATTCGTCGGTAGCACAAGAGATCTAAGCGGGAGGCGGAAGCTTATCGTAAGCTAAAAGAAAAGCTAAATGGAGCTATGAAACAGCTATTAAAGCTAGTCCTTGGAGTGCCGTTGCGGTTGATTCGAAGCTTTGTGGGGGGGGGAATAAACAACCAAGCAATAATAAAGTTTAGTTGAAGTATTAACGATGCAGCGCCACAATGGCCGAGGCCGAGGTATGGCGGTCCAAGATTCGGTTCCTTGCAGGTGAAAGCAGCTGTCCATTGTGGGGTTTAGCATATTCCTTTACGGGTGCGGGCAGGTAGGTAGGATTGCACCATCCTCAACGGATATTGTATCTTTCACTAAAATAGACATAATATGTCATAGCATTAAATTTAAATATCTGCATAGAAGTTAGAGTTATATACGGCTGATATAGTTTCTTAGCAGTCACGTATAAAGAGTCATAGCGCTTGGAACAGACTAATAATTGATCGAAGACAGACGACCATGTCTTGCTCGTAATAGGATAACATCAAGTTTCAACGGAATGGTATAAAGTCGTACAAGACATCCCCGACATGACACCGAGTAACGCCAACCAATGAAGATAAAACTATGAAAGGCCCCCTTAACGTGCATTTAGACCGGCTCCCCAAGGCAGCCCAGCATAAGCCTCTCGTAATCCCCGCTTGTCTCGCCTTTAATGCGACCGGCAAGACTTCGACGATAACGTTGCTGATATGCGCCCTTGATATTTGCCATCGTCTGCTTGTCCCAGTGGTATCGGACTACTCTCGAGACTAGTAAGTGATCCTTCGTACCTAAACCTGCCATTGCGTCTTCGAGCAAAGCAGCTGCATGCATGTATTTGTCGATAGCATTCCGCAGCTGATATAGTAAAGCCTCCTCCATATGCCCACTAAACTCCTACGAAAAGGTTAGCACTTCGAATTCGGGGTAGCCTAGGTATGTATTAGGTAGTCAAACTTACCTTTCTAATAACATCCTCTAGTCGTCGTCTGAACTTTTGCTCGTAGGCATGATTAATAGCCCGGATCTGATTATCGTTTCTCGTAGATAGTATCGAGCACACCATCATTTCATCCGTACCGACTTTACCCTCCGTAGCGCGATATAATTCCATGACATCCTGATCGATAGCTTGGGGGATGACCGGAGCACTGTCTTCAGCCCTGTTTGCGCCTAGTACGATCATGAAATGCCTTTCGGTCTTCATGCTGAGATCTCCTTTCACGTCGCTCTCTAGTGACCGGCGAAAGGTTTGTTGATACATACTCTTGATGGCATTCATATCCGCGTTGCTGCGACTTAGCAAGACGTCATTGAGGACCTTTTCCTTCGTCCCGGGCCCATCCATTGCTGAATGTAAGAGATGCACATCGTGGAGTAAGGGTCCCCTGACAACCGCGACTAATCCTGTCTCGAACCATCCTCTCGTCTCTGATATTATATCCTTTTCGAGCGTGCGGCTAAAATTCCGGAAGTAGGCTGCTTTGATAGCCTCAATCTGTATGGGATCTTTAGAAGATAGGACACGAATTAACGTCTTCTCGTCTGTGCCGAAACCTTTCATGGCGCCCCTTAGTGTCCGCGCGTCAGGATTTGCATCCCACTGAATTTGCGGGAGTGGTCCATATCCTAGACTGTGAGGTGTAGGCGGTCCTACGGGTGCTGGGGGGTAAGGCTGACCATACGGAGGTTGCGCAGGGGGATATTGGCCTTGGGGATATTGATTATACCCTTGAGGAGGACCAGGAGGAGGCCCGTATTGATTATAACCCTGAGGGGGGCCAGGAGGAGGGGCAGGTTGATAATAACCTTGAGGAGGTTGATTGTACCCCTGAGGAGGAGGAGGGGGTGCCGACCATTGGCCCGGAGGATATGGCTGTGGTTGGCCCGGAGGAGGATACTGACCCGGAGGGTACTGGCCGGGATAACCCGGCTGGCCATAAGGATATGACATGCTCAGAATTCGCCTCGGTCTTTGATCCGAAAATATTTCTTAATACCGTAATCCAGATGTTTGATGTTGAGGATGTACAGAATTTGAAAATGTAGTTCAAAAGCGGAGTAGACGAAGGGAGAAGGAATGAAGTAATACAGGTTGCTAAGCGATAAATATATAAAAAATAAGATGATAGTGACTTAGGTACCCTAGGTACATGGCAATGACTCTTAAGAGATGTAGGTAAGGCACCTATTTATTTCAGATTGCTACCTAGAACTTGCGCCTCACACGTTAATGAGGCAGTGAATGATAAGCTTCCGTGTAGATTTTCGATAGATGTCGTAATAGGGCCAGCTTGAACAAAGAAACTGCCTTCTATTAAAGTAAACGTCAACTAGCTTCGTGGCGGAGGCGGAGTCCACGCGTATAAGTGAAGTACCATTCAGCCCTAATATATGCCTTTAGGTACATGTTTGTGGCTTGGTGCATCTTGGCTAGCTTAGGCGTAGGTACTTGAGGTCATCCTGACTTGCGACTTGCAACTTTGAAGTAGCACTATTAAAAATCAGCTGAAGCTTAACATGCATGTAATAACACAGTACTTATAAGGTTAATATTCCAATGAACCCGAAATAAGTATAGCCACAACCCGAATTCAAATACATACACATTCACCTTACCAATCGTTTATTTTTACTAGTACCTTCCATCTGTTAGGTAGTACCTAGCGCCAAGCCAAAGGCGCGGAAGCTTTTGCCACAAACCACAAGCATTAAAATCCTAGCCACAATTTAGACGGCACATTCAACCCGAAATAAGCAAATCAAAAAAAGACAAAATGACGTAGGGTGCAACTTCTCTATTGATACCTAGTCTAATAGCGATACAACGAGCGAATAGAATAGTAATATGCGCCAGTGAACACCATTATGTATGCATCGCACCGTTTTCCCCCTCCTCTATGTCTATGTATCTCCCCCAAAATGACAAGCAACTTCAACGCGAAACCTTCACCAAGTAGTCCTCACGACCCCACGAAATGCGGAATCAGTGCTAAGCTAGGCCCATCAACTTAAGAGTGGCGGCAGGTGATGCTGCCAACAACGACAGTGTTGGTAGAGAGACGACCGGGGTTTTTGACGTCGAAGGTTTTGGCGGCAGTGTCGGAGCTAGATTATGTTAATTAACTAATGATTGATGACTACAGCCAGGCGAAGAAATAGCTTACCCATCCTCGTTCTTGTGAGGCTGGCAAACGACAGTGTTGATATCGACTAGAGAAGCGCCGATGAGGTAGAGACTCGAAACCTCCTTAAGGGCTTCGCCCCGGAAGGGTTCGTCGAAAGCGACTTGGATGGTCTTGTTCACGAGACCGTTGCCAGCACCACCGTGAGAAGACTCAACGTTGATCTTGGCGAAGGGACTCTGAACCTGAGCGGCGGCCAAGCCGGTGAAAGCAATGGCAGAGGCGAAGATGGCGGAGAACTGCATTTTGAATGTTGGAGAGGGGTTGACTAATGTCGATATTAAGATTATGAGAATGGTTTGGTGAGTTTGTTGAATTGTAGTTTGCTTTGAAGATTGCGTTGTCGATGTGGTGATTAAGATTCAACTTTGCAGGACTCAACCACTGGCTTTATAGGAAGTTGTCGTCGACTCCTTTAACCATCGTCTCCATTATTAGATTCGCTGACTCGCGGACCGCTCGTACGGTAAGCGCTAATACGTGTGCTGATCACCACCCGTTAGTATTCCCCGGAGGCTGATGTTGGCAGGACGCGGCACAGAAAGATCTGCGCTGAGCCGCCATTCGCTCTACGTCGGGGTGCATATTCAAACACGAGATTGGGTACCGGCATACTTTACCACGGACAAGATTTCATTAGATCCACTGGAAAGAATATACGACGCCTGGACGCGTAAGAGGTGTCAATAATCTATTTGCGGTGAGTACGGTACGGCCACAAATTCATACGACACTGGGCCGCATTGTGGACCGAGCCGACTGTGGCGCAAATGTCGGCTTCGTTTTCGTTTAAAAGCCCAATCAGAATTTCTTTGATCCGGCCCCTAACTTCGGGCGGTAGGTTTTGTTGAGTGCCGTTGTCTTGTCCCGTATCCGGGTCCGGTTTAACTACACTATCGCTCCTATTCGTGTTGTAGGAAGCACGATCATGGAGACCCTAGATACCTAGTATCTTCATGATCGAAATGCATGCAACGATATGCTGGCAAGTTGGATGGGTTTAGACATTTCTTCCAATGACATGCTACTCCTGGCTAAGTTAACCGGGAGTGCACCAACACCCTGCCGATCCCATCTCTCCTGAAATTGAGGCAACTGGGTGCGAACATACGGGGCTGACGGGGCGAGAGAGCTGTGTCGATCAACGAGCCCTACCCTATTAGGACATATACATTTTTGAATTATCCTCATGTTGACCGTCAACGTATCAATATACCGGCTTTAAGACCTTTAACTACTCAAACATATACTTCAGGTATACCAGAGACAATTACCTTATCACCTAAGTTGACTTATACAGTACGCTCTAGAGCTTCAAAAAAGAGAATTGTCGTCTTAGTATTAGTAACTTACTTTCTCCGCTGGGAATATTCCTCTGCATGCAAAGGCGCGGGTATCGAATACACTATAGCATAGAATTGGAACAATTTGGACCTTGTCGGAAATTTTTCATATACTCTAATCCATACGATACGTCCCATATACCTTTACAGATTTGAATATGGCCAACAGCCTATCTGATTTCTGCATTACCTATATCCATGATGCCGAGACAGTCTGCGTTGCTCAGAGGGTTGAATACTTCAGGCTTTAGATCTGATCTTAATTGCGTAACACCGCTTAGATTTATGGCAGGAGATAACGTGTACAATGACGCGTACACTAGCTATACTAGCATTAGCTTAGTTCTAGATATGAAGATCCTCTGGCAGACGCTAGTCTACCAGGAGAACTTCTACTAATCAACTTCATTCAGATCTCAACAGTAACCTACCAGGATATTGGTTAATTCAGATCGACGTGCAGCAAGGCGTCGCCAACTGCTGCCGCCGCGTAATCCTCCCGTGCTTCTCGAACCACAACAATATGCGGTGACTATGAATCTTCTAAGGGGATGCATTGCATAGAAGTTGATCGGCGAATTAAGTCGCTTTGGCCAACTCACTCGGGGACCATAATTATAGCTTCTACTAGCCTATCTACACCGATAATCTAACTATCTAGGAATATCTATATTGCAGTTTCAAATCAAGCTGTATTCTATGAATTGCTATCCATGCGTTGGTCACCAAGAATTAGGTGTGGATTGTTCGTATATAGGGCAAGCCAACTCATTTACGTGTCTAACCTAGTGGATTAAGGGGTGAAATAGGCAGTACGGTAATAAGAAAAGGGGAAGATATTGGAAATCACGGACGAGCCAGAATGAAAAGAGAAGAAATAAACGTAGACGAGAAAGAAGCAAGTAAGTATACGACGTGTACAAATTAATCCTTGGGCAATATGGCCATTGGAAACGTGGTGAGCTTTACGAAGAATGTTACGTTACTATAACTATGGCGGTTGGCCCCGTTAGCGGACTTAACGACCCAGGATGGTTCCCAAAGCAGTAGGAAGTCTCATAAAAAGGGATGAAATATATAATCAACATCCTTCACCAGACTGAAACGATATTCGATGTGCTATACAAGACGATCAACGCCCATAGCCTCTTATAGCTGTGTAATCACCTTCGTCATCGATTCGAAAGCTCGGCCCAGAGACGTCAGTTTCGGTCCAAAGCAAGTAGCAATCTTGAATAATAAAACCTTACAGTTCAAGGGGAGAGTATGCTGTTATTGGATTCCAGAGTGACTGGTGTAGGACTGCGAAGAAAGTACACTAATATAATAAACCTCGCGAAACTTAAACTTAGACATATACATGCACTTTTATTCTCTACTGAAGTATCATCTTGGAATAAATAGCGACTAAACGATAACCACTTCCAAGTTAATAATACAACTCTTTATTTATTAGTTTGATTTGCGCTCATATCAATCATGCTACTGCTGGTTATTACGCTATCAGCTCAAAGAGAAATGTTTAAGTCATGCTGAAAAGTATTCAGCATATCCTCAACATTGATGTATATTGACAAAAGTTTCCAAAAATCCCCTGTCACAAGTTCCAATAGAGAATTGGTCGCTATCACATTCAAAGCCTCCAGCGCTCGCATCATTAAACCTGAAATCGAAACGTTAAACAAGAGTAGCGACAACAAGATACATATCAGTCTACGTGAGGCCAGGCATGATTGTACTAGTAAATATTTTACGATGTGTAGCGGTCAAACTCGCTGCAGGCCGATGCAGTTCCTCGTGCCCCTTAAAAAACGCTGCCGAGGCTCGTCAGGCTTTTTCCAATACTCAAGATCCATCCACCGTTGGGGATCGAAGCGCATCGGGTCCGGATATATGTTCCCATTCGTATGTATTAACACGGTACCTTAGGTAGTCATCCCCACGGGCGTTCCCTGAGGTATATATACGTAGGTCACCGCAAACAGGTCCGCGTCTAGGTTAATCCGTGTCACTCGAGCGGAAATAGCTGGCCTCAATCGCATGAATAAACGGTAGAACACGAGCAGTAAAATAAATGGTTACCGTCACTGCGATATTCTGCCACAATAGGGAGGCCGCCGAGTTCCTCCATGTCACTAGCTATATCGAACCAGATGATTTCTGCTGGGGCCTCGGAAATGGTGGGTGTACATTTCTGCAATACTAAACATGTAAAATAATTAGTTGGGAGAAGAGGAAGGAGAGGGAATCAAAGAGAACAGTATGGAGGTAAGCTGCGCGAGTTGGTTGGTGATATTTTTGGTAGGGAATAGGTCATAAAGGAGGGTTGCAAGGCGACGTATCCTGGTTATTTTATTTGTAATTGCCGTAGGACCCGTGATGTCGTCTCTAAGTAGTAAGCAGTTGATAGCTTCTGCTTTATCCATAAACGCTTCATCAGACTTGTCTATAACTTGGATGCAAAACGCTTCAACCCCTATCCGAGTATCTTCACTCGACATAGGTCTCCTTAGAGTATATGGTCTTCTAGTATCTAATAGCATTGACAGAGACAAGACTGCGAACGTATGAATCCTTGATTGAATAGTGCAATATGTATTAAGTGTGTGCGAGTATCTGGTTACTGTATTATATCTTACATACATAGGTGTACAGCGCACTATGACTTACATAGCAGGGCCACATCTACTGCGCGACGGCATACAGAGCACCGAGCGCCAGCGCGCCGTAGAAGCCAACAGCGCTGCCGGAGAAGGAATTGGCAGAATTGCCAACTACGAAACCTCCAGATGACTAGGTAGTTTTTAATTAGCTAAAAGTCATTTCTTTAGATCGGGAGGGTAGACTGACTGTGGGTGCTGTTCCATTTCCGTATGCAGATTCCGTGACTGTTACAGTGTGGCGCCCGGAAGAAGAATAAGAAGAAGCGGGTGTTGACTCGGTTGGGGTTATTTCCTGGGTGCTGGAACTAACAGTGGGTGTCTCTGTCGAGGACTCCGTAGTGGTTGGTGCTTCGGTAGGAGCCTCAGTGGGAGCCTCGGTGGGAGTTTCGGTAGGAGTTTCGGTAGGAGCTTCGGTAGGTGTCTCAGTAGGAGTCTCGGTAGGAGTCGGCGTCTCAGTCTCAGAGGTCTCGGTCGCGGATGTAGTAGGTGAAGGAGACTCCGATGCACTTGTCGCACCGGAAGACCCGGCGGGAACCGCCGGCCCCACATCGGGTTGTTTGCCGGAGAGAGGCGACGTTGATAGACCGCATGAACTTGCGCTCTTCGTTAGGGCATTCCCGTAGTACTGCCAAATGTCCTCGTTGTCGGGTCCGGCGCATTGCAAGCAGGCCTTGTAGTCGGCTAGGAAGATATCGTCATGGCATACATCCTTGCTGCTTCTTCCCTGAATGATGGCTTGGCCTAGGTTGACGAACATTAGTATCGACCCATCTTCTCCAGTAGAAATGGAAGATGTAATACTTACCACAGTTGTCGTGGCAGTTGTAAGAAGGAGAGCCAGGGTCCTGACGCTTGAGCAGAAGAGCAAAGAACTGTAGCTCGTCCGTCGATGCGGAGGCCGCAGTGGCAGCGAGGATTGCTCCGAAAGTCCAGCGAGCTACAATCATCTTGGTAGCAATATGTCCAATGAACGAACGTGATGATAAACTAGAACGAGCGGCTTATTTCGAAGTGTTCGGCTATATGAGGAGGTCGATGTGGAAACAAGTAAATTCAAAGTGAAGGGTGACAGCGGGTCCTACCGTCTTATAGCTAGCTATGCTTCTTGGACACAAGTAAGCTTAAAAGAAGGTAACCGGGGAAATGCATGCAAACATTCAGCTAAGGCAAGGGGTTTCGCCGAACGTAGGCTAGGATCCGTGGACGAATGGTATGAAAGTAGCCGATGCTCGGAGATTGGGTTATAGGTATTCCAAGTAGGATCAAGTTGCTGCTTTGAGTAGTTCGGCCTGTTTTGAGAATTGCTTCCGTAAAGGAATCCATATTCCGGCTATAGGCTAGGCCTAATACTAGGTCTGGCACATAGACTTCCCGAGCGAAGGTTTCCGAGGCATGATGACCTATACAATAGTACTGCACGTGTCATCGCATATGCTGGGATACCCTTTACCTTAGGATGGATAATTAGGTTAACTGTCGAACCGAGGATTAATATTTGACCTTATTCCATTTTCATCCGTCTATGACAGCTCTAGCTTGCAAACAAGGCAGACTAACTGTAATATCGGCCGAGTCTTTGAATATCGTCACTCGATGCCCCCATATTACAGAATCGTCGGGTCATGAGATTTTCCCCCCGTCGTCTACTACTAAACCTCTTTGGAACTCATTACGAGAATAATGAAGTTCTGGACCCGTATTGGACGTTCGATCTGATTAGATTGATAAGATTAGATGGAGTGCCACACCCTGTTGGGTCTTCTCCGCTATGGAGTTGGATCCGTTGCAACCCAAGAGCGAGCTAGCAAGGATCTAACAAGGGGATCTCCTCTTAGCGCCATCAGATAAACAAATAAGCTGGAAAGAATAAACGGTGAGGTGAAGCTCTACAACTTTGACATTTCTGTCTTGTGTCCTGATTTGCCTTTTATATAATACTACTGAGATAGACATATGATATGATGCTGCCTATATACGTAGATCCTCTGCTCTAAGTATAGGTCGGATTTACTCTTATGCTCTCGGATTTCACTGCGGCCGTATATGCCCGTGCTAACTAGGTACCTAAAGTTACGGCGTTACCTCCCTCGCTTCGATTCGAGTTTTCGTTACGCCAGTGACCTGACTTTAAAGGCTCGGCTGCATGAGAGCCGGGGTGACTCGCGATCTGAGGATTGGTAAGAAATCATACCACCCATTCAGTCTAGCCACCCAAGTCCGTCCTGTCAGAGTGTCAACCTGCAGGCCTGATTCGTTTATTTTCTCCTAGTCTCATACTATCCATATTTGCGCTAGCTACATTTATAAACTCGTCCCCACACGATTCAGGCGACCACTACAAGATGGTGATGGCGAGAGAGGTGGACTTGGTTACTACGTTACTAACCGTGGGATATCCTGTCACTTGTTGCTTGGCAAGCACATTTAGCTGATACTTATGATGTCTTCACGATCGTTCTGAACTAGTTGCTATTGGCACCATTATCCAGTATACGAGATGTATTACGGTCATCAAAGTTACGATTTATATGTTGGCATTGTTGAAGTATTTTGATCGGTTTTGCTAGAAGATGAGTGAAGGATAGGCACGTTGTTAATCTAGGGCATAGGCATGTCTTGGGGTAAGTAACGAGGAAAAGTGATAAGTATCTCCGGTAACTAGGGGTTCTAATACCCATACATGGTTCCAGATACGGCATAGGCAGTCCAACGATCCTAAGCGGCGTGGAATTAGGCCATCTAGGTACTATCTACCTTGGAGGAAAATAAATGAGTCTTTGTGAGACCTTCCTAACCTAGACGGTAACCTTCATATCACCAACTACTCTGCCGTCATCGGATCATCGCTCTTCCTATATCTTTACATCTCGCAGGGGACGTGTAAGTCTCCGGTAGCCGCCTACGGTGGTTGCTCGGCCAATTAGATTCCCAGCGGCCGGCTTGTCCCACTCTTTGGAGCGTGGAATCGTCGAGTGTTAGCTCGATCGTGGCCGGGGCCTAAAGCTGGCTAGACCTATTGTATCACATCCCAACCTGACATGTTAGTTTCTCGTACGAACTAATTTGTACTCGAGTATTGTTACGAGAAAATCTTATACTAGACATAGATGCCGTAAGTACGTCGACAAATCCGAGATGCCTATTCTTCACTAGGTAGCTAACTAGTATCTCCCTGGGCAAGGAACCGTTACCCAGGGTTGCCACCTAGAGGCAGGCTATAGAATCTAACAACGTCTTGGGTCGGCTTATCTCGGACGAATGACTGTGCGTGTCCGTTAACGACTTGATGGTGGGAATCGAGCTTGGCAATGAAGTGATTGGCCTGTGACAAGGTGCCGGTTATATGACCTAAATGAGCTCCCCACGGGCTGCACGATTAATACTTATAAGATCGTTCTGCGCCTGTCTTCACCCTCCAAAACCCTCCCCCAGCCACAACCGCCTCCCCGTAGTTATATAGGCAAGCACCCACTATATCATTACAATCATCTTAGAGGTAGCTCCTTGCGGTATATTGTCTATTCAATATGAGGTTCAGTCAGTTGTCTTATATTGCCGCACTGGCTGGGAGCCAGCTCGTCGCCGGCGATGGAGAGGCTCATGGTGAGGGTCTCGAAGGCAGTGTCATGGGCCCCGTTGCTTTCCTCTGGCCTGATGACAGACCTTGGAGCGCTTCAGCCGACAACGTAGGGCCTTGCGGAAGCTCCAGCGGCGTAATCAACAGAACTGCCTTCCCTCTCAGTGAGTACCTGTAGCAATGGCATGAGGCAATATATCTCGGGCTGACCTCGTCTTCATTTAGCTCAGGGGACTGTTGCCCTATCAATCGCCGACGATGCCTGGAATGTCAACTTCTCCATCGCATATGACAATAGTTAGTACTGTCGTGTATATCGTGCACTTCAACACTGACACTGCCCCAGCACCAACTATCCAGAGCCAGTTCAGTCAGCAAGTCGTTAGCGACGTCACGGAGATTGAGCCTGGTCACCAATGCTACAAGATTGCCGACGTCCCGAACACCGTAGCCGCGGGAACCAATGCCACAATCCAGCTGGAGTATTGGTCGAACGTTGACAACGAGCTCAACGGCAGAAATCAGACCTTCTACGCTTGCGCTGACATTGTATGATACTAATAGCACCTGGCCCTATATATGGAGTATATACTGACGCCTTCCATAGACCTTCGTCGAGCCTAAGGACATGAAGATCCAACCTCCTTGCTTCAACGTAACAGCAACAGACTTCGAATCTGGCGACTCGTCATCTACTTCTACCCCAGCACCAAGTGCCACAAATGCTGCATCTGACGCAAACGCGGCCCCTAGCTCGGGCTCCTCTGGCGATGGTCTATCCGGCGGTGCCAAGGCAGGCATTGCCGTTGGCGTAATCGTGGCTTCTCTTGCTATTGTGGGCGTTATTGCATTTGTACTCCTCCGGAGACGTAAAACCCAGACGCTCGACAATGAAGCGGTGGCTGCCGCTTCGAAGAACCAACCCGAGGTTGCTTCTGTAAACAGCCAAAGACGTTAAATTGCTATAGCTTCGATGAATCGATACCATAGTACTGGTGAGGTGGTTGTGTGTGATAGGAGACGCATTGGGAATAGGGGTATGAGTTAAGATTAATATGAGATCATGTTTCTTTACGCCCAAGGGGTAACCATTTGAGACTGGTTTATATTTAATGCAATATGTATAGCGTCGTGAGTCATAAATCGCATCTATCCAAAACCATACCGTCCGGCTTTTCCAACAATCCAGACGCCACATTCATAAAAATCATGTGGCACGTAGCCATATTTTCATCTTCGCTACCCCTTCCCACCACCTTACCAGGCAAAGATTCGACCCCCGACGCCCCTGATTTCCATCAGCTGTCGCACATTGATGGTTTGCTCATGGTGACGTGGAGATGGGCTCGAACCTGCCAACACCTTATGGAGGACTTGGCGGAGGGCTGTAATGTTGTTGCCATTACGTTCAATTGCTACCGCAAGATTAACTATCTTGCGGTCTACACAACCAGAACCGCAGTGCACAGCGACGACGCTCCCCGAGGCGTTAATCACCGGGCTCCCCGAGTTTCCTATAACGGTATTATCATGTTCCCGTTACCATTACTTCATACGCGGGACTGCATCCGACGTACCTGGTAGGGTATCTCCAAAGTGTACAGTCATTTTTAACGATGGATCATAAAGGCAGAATAGCAGTGTACATTGAGATACAAGACAAGAAATTATCATGGTTCGGGTGTAGGTTCGCTATGAATGTTACGGCATGTTGGAATGCTTCATATTGGGGGTTCCCTTCAGACCTAATTGGACCATAATAGACAAAGAAAGGTGAGTATAAAGGTGAGTATAAAGGTGAGTATCTTGGGCTTGGGCTTAGTATTAATGTATGCTCTTATGAAGATGAGAAGTCTGAACTGAATCCATAATTTAAAGGCGAACACCCCGCAACGATCAATTTTAAGCTCATTGGTTAGTAAAGTTACCCACCTCTTATGTACGGTTAAGAATAGCGCTAATAATTGGCGCAGTCTAGGTACTAAAGAATTAGTTATGCGAGAAAACCAAAAGGTTATGCAAGGTAGGTGCTCCACTTTCTACCTATCTTTCTATCTATCAATACGCGGTCGAACGCGCTGGAGACGCGTTTACATAAAATGGCGCCAAGATAGGTGCAGGTGCTTAACAAGGGGAATACCTTTGTAAAAGGTTCTCTCGAGATATAAACAAGCAGAAAAATGCCAAAGACTATACTGATATAAAACAGAATCTGAATTTTATTCTGATATAAGTTATAAAGATATGATCTAGTATTTCGCCGAGTTATGTGGACAAGAAAGTGAGCCTTTTGGTATGTTAATACTTACAAAATCGGCACTTCCTGACAGCCTGATCAGTGATATCAGTGATATCAGTGATATCAGTGATATCAGTGATATCAGTGATCATCACTAATTGAACTGCCGTTTGATTGAGATTACCTACACTGTGTGGTCTGTGCATGGTTCGAGACGCGTCTTAAATACTATGTACTATTATTCGCGTCTACCTAGTTACTATTTCAGTAGGTATCAGATAACTTGATTCTAATCGAAACACCGGGGTCTTTCAACAAATCTCAATATGAATAGATATTCTGAAGCTCCGATAGAAATCTCGGATGGCTCCTCCGGGAATGACGAAGATGACATGGATTCCGAGTCCATATCCGAGGAGGATAGTCTGAACGAGATAAAAAAAGATCTACTAAGATGTCTCGATAAAATCCAAACCGCTGGCCGTGTCGCTGTATCTAAACAGCACGAAGCCTTTATCAACCCTGGTTTGACAATTGCTGGCACCCTTATACCATTGCCATTGGTGCCTCGCGATGCTGAGACGATCAGGAGTGTATCTAGAGAAGCTCCCTTTGGTAAAGGTGACGAGGTATGTGGCTTTCATGTAACCCCTATGTTTAGCCTTAAGAATTACACATGATCAGACCGTTAACTTATGCTGCTGCAGACGGTGGTTGATACTTCGGTACGCAAGACATGGGAACTTGATCATACTCAATTCGCGCTTGCGAATCCTGCTTGGCAAGCCTATGTTGCCTCCCTATTAGACGATGCTGCACAAAGTTTGGCTATGTCGGAGGTGAGAGCTGAGCCTTATAAGCTGCTTCTATATGAAGAAGGCTCTTTCTTCAAACGTCATAAAGACTCGGAAAAGGTCCCAGGAATGATCGGAACGATGGTCATTTGCCTTCCTTCGAAACATGATGGCGGTAGTGTTCACCTGTCTCATGCCGGTAAGAGCTACGTCTTCGAAACAGATAAGACTTCTGACTTTGGCCTAACGAGCCTCTCGTGGTTCTCTGATGTTACGCACGAGATTAAACCTTTGAAGTCCGGGTACCGCTTGGTGTTGACATATAACATCATCCATACGGGTCATAAGCACATATCTGCTGACCTGGTCGGAGAGCAATCAGAGCGTCTCCGTTCGGTATTGGTTAAGTGGCAATCAAAGCTACCGTTCAGGGAGAAGCTAGTTTATATGCTTGATCACAAATATACCCAGTCGAGCCTGAAGCTTAGCAATCTTAAAGGACGGGATAGAGCTGTATGTCAAAGTCTGTACGAAGTTGGCTTAAGCTGCGGCTTCACCATTTTTCTTGCCAAGATGACCCGAACGCAGGGCGACGACTCCAACGAGTATTATGATGATGATGAAGAGTCAACAGAACTGGAAGACGTGAGGACTTGTGATGGATTGACTGTTTGCAATAGGGTATATTTGGAAGATGAGGATATCCTAGGGTCAGACCTGTGGGACCGAGACCCCGACAGTGAAGATGAAGGTGGCTTTACTGGCAACGAAAGCATGCCGTCGATCCTCCGTTACCATGACACTGTAAGTTCGCCATAGCCTAATCTTTGTCTTAAGGCCCCTATATTAACTTAATTTAGGTCGTTGTTGTAGTGCCTATGAGCAACATATCCTCATTTCTTTCTAAGCCCGGCCTACGAACTGCACTAAGCTTGGCCAGACATACTTTAGAACACCAGCCCGACGATCATCATCTTCAGGCCTCCCTGCTGACAATTTTGGAGAGTGCCGTTCCCAATGGGCCGCCCGATAGCACGTTATTATCCAACGTGATCGACCTAGCTATCAAGTTGCAAAGGAAGACACTGTACCAGGTAGCTGTCCGTACTGCACTGAAGGACCCGGTTCCTCGACATTTAGTATTAGAGACAATAGTCCGGCTCATGAAGGATGAGCATCTCAAGGACACTCAGAAACAGCCGGACTGGGATTTTTGGTAAGTCGATATTTCCAGTGATCTTAATGACCTTTCTCTAATTACTCTAGGTTCGGCGACGCGTTCTCTGGGGCTAGCAAGATTTCTCTGGTAATCCTAGCTGATGTATTGAACCGTCTAGACGCTTTGATACAACACGACGATCTAAAAGTTTCCTTTCAAAGCTGGAGGACATCGATGTCAGAAAGAATGGTTGAGTCAAAGCACACATTGGGCATGGAAGATCATGATTACTTGATTTGCCTCCTTTTTTCGCAATCTAATGACTTGGCGTGGCTGGCAAACTGGTAAGTACTGTGATTTGAAGCATGCAAGATTATGACGGGCTGATTCTTTTTCTTTTTACTGATTAGTTTTGCGCCGACACTGTCAAGCAAAGGTTCCAACCGGCTCATTTATACGATATTACGGGATATCTATTACAATCGCGAACGCAAAACACTCGCGAGAGCTACAGATGCGTACCGGTGCATCCTGGAGAGTAGTACAGAAAAGCTGGCTTTGCGCACCAGCGATTTACTACCCCCCTCCCCCTACATCTACCCCTCCACACCTCGCAGTGAAAATAACTTGGGTTTTAATAAGACCATAGAGGTTATCAGCTTGGGTCTGGACATGGGGCTATCCAAAGAGGCCATTAAACTCATCGAGATGAGTTGTACTAATATCTGTCAATCCAGCCTGGAACTAAAAGAAAAAAATCACCTCCCTGGCAGTATAGTTCAGAAATTCTTAGAAGCTCTATTAGCGGTCCTACAGAAACACAAGGTCCCTCCCCTTGAATGCGTCAGGAACATGTTTGTAACTCTCTTCCGCGATATCTTCGTCGGAGTGTTACCAAAGCGTCCCATAAAGTCCCAGGGTTGGAAGCACAAGCCGATAAACTGTTATACGAACTGTCAGGACTGCAGAGAGCTTAACTCCTTCCTTGTGAATAGCAACGAGAAAGAACGCGAATTTACCATGGCTACGAAACAACGACAACACCTTGAAAGTCAGCTACCGAAGAACCTTTTCCATTGCCGCACTAGGACAGGCCGTGCGCCGTACGGATTGATCGTAACTAAGCTGGGAAGGGAGTTCGAGGAGGACATGAAGGAATACCAACGTCGCCTTACGCTCCTCAATAATGAACTCAAACCGTTCAAGTGCGAGTACATGAAATATTTATTAGGAGAAGAGCTGTACCAAAAGCTGGTCCTCCTGAAAGATGTGTCGGGTGCGGACGGTGCTGAAACAACGGGGACTGCCGGGGGAAAGAGGAAAGCAGAGGAGGATCTTGATGGCTCCAGTGCATCGAGACCCAGACTTGTAGAGTAACCCAGGCGGTTTCGTGGCACGTACTTTAGTCTTTAGTATATGATGGAGCACAAAGCCTGGGCCGTATGTATATGGGATGGTCAAGCCCTGCCGTTATACCCCGGGCCTATAATAATCTGTATTTTAGATAGAAGAGTCTCACGGGAATGCTGGACATCTCACATTGTAATATTAGGCCAAGCTGATATGAGGAAGTGGGTGCCAACGATCGTCGAGGGCTCGTGCCTCCTTATTCTCCCTACTAGACCGCGTCAACGCGTTTATTATTTTAAATCCTTGTTTACCACTTTAGATCCTGGTTTACCACTTTAAATCCTTGTCACGTCAAAATACTTAGAACGCAACAACAATTTCGACGTGATCCTTAAACCACTATTCAACCATTACTATTTACTATACGTCCATAATGAATTCTATTAGTCAATTCTTCGTACGAGGGCTTGCGGCGTCATCCTCGTCTGCACGGAAGTCTTCGGCATTATCTTCGGAAGAGTTCTACGAGAACTTCGAAACCGATTTCCACGAAAGTCTCGTGGAGCTCCAAAAAGAAGATAGTCTTCAGTTTAATCGAACAGTTGTAAGCACATTAAGCACCATATTAAAATTTGGCTCTGATAAAACCCTTCAATCTTCCGTCAACCGCATCATACAAAAGCACTGGGAAGAAAACCCTCCGGAAATCGTTAACCAACTTCAAACACCTACACATGAAAGCGGCGAGTAAATGCAGATAGCAAGCACAAGATAAATGGCTAACATTTCTTTTCTCTTTTAGACACCGCGCGACGGCCTTTACCCAACTCGCGATCCTTTTCCACGGTTAATGCTACTCACGACTGTAACGCCATCACAGCCCCAATCTTCGGCACGACGTTGACGCCAGCTTTAACTTCTATAAATCTATTTAGCGGTTAGTTCAACTTTCTACACCACCCCGGTCTCAACGTCAAGTCTCTGAAATAGACCTTGATCCCGAATTAGTTATTAAGATGCTCCAACTATTTGACCCACCACAGAACCAGCAGAACTATATCATTTGTCATGTCAACAGGTATATTCCAGATCTAGACCGGTATCTTACCGAAAATGTCATGCTATACCTCCACGGCCTGGAATCACGGGATAATTTGCCTGATCAGTCGCAACAGAAAAGGACAAGCAGCTATTGCGAGGCAGTTCGGCATGTACTACAACTTAGCCGTGAGAACTGTCACCAAGAAGCAAGTCTTCTTGCTGCTTAGGTCTCCTTATGGATTATTTATACCGTATTGCTAAACCATCTACACGCCAAAGTCATTTCAGATCCCGACTCGAAACGTCTTCTCCGGCTGGATGATCCGGGTGTGGCAGAGGCATACACGAGCGACGAAAACTTCCACAAGGTTTCGGAGGCACATAGCGAAGTAGTAGAGGCCGTCAAGAGCCTTTATGATGCCGGAGGGATGCTACATTGGAAAGTGTACCGGTTCTTCTGCGACATATCTACGCTTCCCGCGTTAAGTATTCCGTATTATGAAATATAATACTTACCTGCCTCCTTACTTAGTCCTGAGCAAATCTAGGTAGGATAAGCCATCAAGCTACTCGATACTACGGCAAAAGTTACTATCGACGGTTGGAGGGGTCATCTCTTTCTAAGCGAGTGAGTCCATTCGCGCTGGGAATGGGAGGTAAGATTACTTCTCGAAAGAAAGTGTATAGACGTCAAAAGGAGAGAATCCCGAGGCGTAATGGCCCGGAAAGAAGCGCTATCGCCTGCGTTCGATCCTTCGGAGATCGCCATCTTATTACTACAATACGGAGCACGTATCCTTAGAGGATATGTCAGAGATATTTAGACCTAACAAGCGCCGCATGCTAGACTCCGAGTGTCGTAGGTATGTTACGATGTAGCCATCGATCGCTAAGTTAAATACTGAAGGTACTTTGACCACTTCCTGATAGCTGCACCGGAGACAAGTCTTGGTGGACATAAACAAGGCTATTTGTGAGAAATTGTGTCAAATTAATCAGTAAGTCAAATAACTTTAGAAAACGCCGTTTCCTTATAATCATAGGTACATTCTTGAACTTTTAATGTATGATTACTATAATAATATTTCAATATAATTAATTATCAATCATTGGTTAATGTCCCAAATGCCTTAACTCCATGCCAAGATCCTTGATGTAAAGACGAGGTTAAGTATAACACCTAGTACAAGGACATGAAGCATCGCTCATAAACACCCGATATGCCTACTCTCCCTTTTCATCCATCTCGTCCCATCCCACCTCACCTCACCTCAAGCCGCCAAACGCGCGATCCAGCTCCTCGCCCTGATCAACCGCCATCTCGCTAATCCCCGCCGTACCTCCGCCACCTCCATCCGCAACGCTCATCTCAGCGAACTGGCCCGCGACCTCAGCCTCGGCGGGGTAATTACTGCGCTCGGGCTGCAGCAGACGCGCGTCGCTGTCGAGCCAGCCCGGGGCGACGCGGCGCTTCTCGGCGAGCTCGCGCTCGCGGATGTGGTTTTGCAGGTCCCGCAACACGCGCTCCGAGTCTTGCTGCATGCGCGTGAGGTGCGCCTGCAGCGCCTTGCACGACGCGACGATGTCGTCTGGGTGTGCGGCGTGGCCGGACTGCGCGACTACGTACTTGACTTTGGCGTCGCTGGCGCCGGTTACGCCGCTGGCGGGCGGGGGCAGCGTTGACGGCATCGACTTGTAGGTGTAGGGGAGTGTGGCGGCCGTGGGGAGCGAGACGAAGGGGGAGACGGTTAGGGGGACTTGCGCTAGGAGGGGGTGTGTGCCTGGGAGATGAGTGTTAGTGTTAGTATTGGTTGGTAGGAATGAATGATGAAGGTAATAGATACTTACGATCATCGCGCATTGTGACCATTATGCAATTGATACTGACAACTTAAATAGACTGTCCGTTTGCTACCTTAGGAGGTAGATAATTCAAATTGGACTTGACGGATAAGGGACATGTTCAGGTTGTAAGATCGAGGTATCGAAGTAATCGAAGCTGCCGTGACGTGTATGACGTGAGATATCGATAAGCGATAAGCCCCTCTATTCTCCAATTTCTCGATTAAACCAAATAATTCAAGACCGCCATAGCCTTTCGCGTCTTTGATTGAAGTAACAACTTCGTCTTCACGTTTTCATATATTGACTTAGGGTATATCGCGACAACACGCGACTGATATTGGATAAGAACCTTCATTATCATTAACCGCGGCGAGAATTCTATAAGCCATGCTGCCTCCGACCGTAATTAGAACTTGCCCTTCGGCAGACAACGACTTCCAGCCCTTAAGTGAATACCAAGCTCAAACCCCAGATACCTTCTTTGATGGGAAGCCCATCCTCTATTATCACGACGAAAACGTCAAGGCGTGGGTCTCGAACAAGCAATATGAAGCTCTATATATCTTTTCAAAAGGTTCTGAGGACGGCCTTACACCCCTAAATCCTAGTCCGCCGGAATGCTATGCGCTCGAGAATAACTGGGGGAAGCATTTGTTCGAGGAAAAGGTCGAGGTATTCGTTGCATCAAAGTAAATATTCCTTTATCAGGTCTCATAACTGAGCATTGCTGACATTTGCCAATAGCAAGTTGACGCTTTTCTCTCACAAGAGTGGAACTGGAATTGAGATTCCCTACCCTGCCATCACACTCCACGCCATCAAGAATTTCCGCCATGTAGAGAAACCGGATGAGGCATCTTACAAATTCATCGGAGTTTACATGCAGCTCGAGTTCTCGAATTCGGGTGGAGAGGATGATGAAATTCTTGATCCTATCGAGCTCACGCTTATCCCATATAAGGCATTACCAGAAGAGCAATCTGCAACGGAGACCCCAGTTATCGACCCCTTGAACAGTGAGCGCGCTACCGCACTATTCAACCAGGTCTCGGCGTGCTCGAATCTACACCCCGACCCCCACGAGGAGGAAGACGAAGAGGAGGGCGGAGATGAATTCGACCGTATCGTGTTCGAGGGTAATGTCGAGGGAGATGCGATTGAAGGACTACCTGGTGCCTTTAGGGGAGATCTCAACGGTGGGTTGCCGCCTCCAATGCCGGGAAGCTCCGGCTGGATTACTGCCGATAACGTCAACCAATATTTCGATCAAGAAGGCAATTGGATCGGGGGAAATGGTGTGAGTGGCGAACTCGGAGATGGTGCAGGTCGCGTCCGAGGACATGTCGAAGTAGATCAAGACGCCATGGATGGGGTGGAAAATGGCGATGGTACTGACTCGAAACGTCCGCGAACCGAATAAGCGAGCCATATATGGAAACCAAGCGCCCAACCGAGCTCGCAAGTATGTACTCTCGGGCTCCCTGGTATTTGGGACGACTTACGATTCGTGCTACCATCCGGGCACATGTGTAATAATTTAATGCAGTCCGTTCGTAGTTTACGACGTTAAACAGAGCTTCATACCTTGGTAAGTTTTACCACTCACTCGGTTCTCAATTAAAACTAGAATATTAACATGCAATAAGGCTAGGATAGATGGATACCCCTTGAAGCTTGATTAATACTGGATTTGATTACGGTAGTTCATTAGGAGAGTTGAATAGTCCGATTATTACGGTATCTTCTAGGGTACCTAATGTCTCCCTAGTATATCCTCGGTGTCTAAAAGTCAAGGATAGAGGCTCTGGAAATTCAAATAACTATTATATTGGAACCCCCTAACCCAACCCAGTTACATAACAGGATATACATATATAATATACGACGAATGTTAAAGATATCAGCACACTGTGTTTACATGACAGAGGAAATATTGCGCTCGTCGGGAGCGTGGTGTATAAAACCGCGGCGTTTACAACTAGCCTAGCCCTTCAGGAACCCCTTCGCGTCGTACAAACTTTCAACACTCAACCGCTTAGCCGTCGCCTCTTCGCGGCTTAGCTTCGTGGCATGCGTCATGATCTGGCTGGCGTGCTTCACGGCGTCTGTTCCGATGTTACTCCCCCTTTTGGCATCTAGCCCTTGCACCACCACCGTTCCCCGACGACTTCTCCCAGCGCCACTTCGTCGTAAAGGACTGCCGTGTTTCGCATTGGTATTGGAACTAGAACTGGCGTTGCGAATGATAGTACCGCTCGACTGTGAGAATCTGTCACCACCGCTACTACTCTTCAGATCCCCTCCCAGCGCAAGATAATTCCTCACACCGCCGCTGTGTCGCCCGGGACTGAATCCACCTCCTCGCATCCCTACGACCGTCGAACTGGCAACGCTGATGTCGCTCATGGTGCTTAGCTGGCTATTCATGCGCCGCAGCTCGGTTATCGCTGTTGACATGCGCACCGTCTTGCTTCGCTTGATGGTCTGCGCGCGCAGTGGTGGGACTTGGTCTTCGTCTTGCGAGTATATGGACCCGTCGGAGGGCATGCCGCGCCGCAGCGGCGGCGGCGGCGATGCTGGTACCCATGATATGGATTCGTGGTTGAACTGCCGCGGTTCCTCGGCTTGTCCGTAGTTCGGGATGCGGAACCCGATTCGTGAGGATCGGCCCGAGTTGGATATCGTCGGCACGAGTTTCTCGGGCGAGGCGTGGGGGTTGTCGGCTGCGATATCGCTGTAGCTGTAGTTGTAGCTGTCGTATACGGATGACAGCCCGGCTTCGGAGACTACGGGGCTGGGGGCGCGTTGTCGGTTGGCGAAGGTGGGCGAGTTGAGTATGGATCGGGGGGAGGGTAATACTCGTCTGCGCGAGGGCGAGGGCGTTGGGGTTGAGATGGAGGCGCTTTCTTGGGATATGGTTCTTTTGTGCGCGGGATGCTTCGCGTCTGACTGTTTACGGGGTGGTTCAGCGGGAAGTGGTGAGAAGACCTTTGATAAACGAGCGGGGTTTTGCGGCGGTGGAGTTGACATGGTGAATGGGTCGTCGTCGTCGTCGTTTTCGTCTGACGATGGGAGCGTGAATGATGGTTTACGTCTGGGTATAGTGTTGGCTTCTATGCTCTGTTGCAGGGGTAACTGATGCGCAGGCGATGTGTCCATGCCTAAGGTTCCTCGACGAATTCGTAATGGAGGAGGTACTTCTTCCTCCTTGACGCGAGACTTGGGATTTCGCTCTGGGTTTGTCTCGGGGTTTCTGCTTGGAGAGAGCACCTCGTGACTGGAAAGAACTTCGCCGGGGGCGCGCCTCTCTATGCTGCCCTCTTGTCTCGAGTCGACCGGCGGGCTACGAACAGATGCTTCTTCCATGCTATATAGTGTTGATAAAGCGGAAGACAAGGTACTGCCGTTTGAGAATGGGCGAGCCGGCTGGCTCCCTTGCGGGCTAGGACTAGGTTCTGCCGACCTGTTAACCCGGCTCGGGCTGGATAAAGCGGTTCGTACGTCTTGATACGACTCCCTCTTAGACACAACGAGGCTATCCGGTTCCGATAGCATGGAAACTTGTGACATCCTAGATACATGGGATTGCTGTCGCGAATGCCCAGGAGTCCGCATCTGACGTTGAGATAGCTGCGGCTTTGGAGTAGATCCTTCTAATTCTGCATACGACATTGTTGCCGGGGCGCTCTTGTGGCTCTTCACGGGACTAACGTCCCCTCTGCCGGGAGTCTCGTAGCTGAAGTCCGTATATCCCCCATAGTGGTTACCGTGAATCCCTCCGTTAAGTACCCGTCCAGGGGTATACGGAGGGGCCATTAGAGTCTGCCGTCGCGCGCTCCTATTCCCGTCTTGCAACCTCTCTTCGGTCATGCGCAGAATTTCCGTTAGTTCCGTGTCCGTTGCGCTGTGTTTTAATACCGGCGGTCTCTGCGTCTGCCCCTGCGGAATACTAATAGGGGCTGGCAGACGCGCTCCGCCGGCTAGTTGTTGGGCGGCTTGGAACGAGACCCTGTTACGGTATCGTGGGTTATGGATGATATCCGGCGGTGACTTTGAAGGGCTGTTGGAGGCGGATCCGGGGCTTGGGTTATTCGAGGGCCCGTATGACTTCTGTGGACTGGTATATACCTGGGGCTGATGTTGACTCTGACGTGGTGTTGCTGTGTATCCGGTGAGGTTTGCATCCTGAGGTGCTACGCTCATCTGCTCGTTGGTACTGTCAGCAGGAGTGTTGAGCTGCTCTTCTATTCCCGTCTCGGTATACGGCAAAGTAGGGCTCACTTCCCCTATACCACTTCTCGTCGAGAGGCGGCTTAAGGAGCGGCCTAAACCACCGTCGAACCAGCTCACTTTCCTCTTGTGCTTCTGTTTTGACTTCCCCGGAGAAGTGATAGTTGGGCCGTGAAGCGCGTCCTCGTCGATCCATGATGTCTTGCGCCGGTGCTGATACATGTCGTAGCCGCGCTCTTTATCCGGTGACCGGGGCTTCTGTCCCTGCTGCGTGTCTATGCTGCCCCTACCGCTTCCGTCTCCCGCAGAAAAGCTTCCTGGCCGCGTTCGAGCGGGAGATATGACGTTCAAACTCGACCGTCTACTCCTACTCTCCTCCATCCCGACCTCGTCGTCCTTGTCCATCATGACTGCCACCTGCTCACCAATAAAACTCTTCTTGCGCAGTCGCCGTGGGCCCGTTTCGTTCGCTGTCGCGTCCCCAGACTCTACTGCAACATCAGGGAAGATAGACGCGCGACGCTCATCCTGCTTCCTGGCAAGTTTGATGAGCAAAGGTGCGAGCGCCGCGAAGAGAATCACGGCTCCGCCGACTGCGATGCCGGCTATGGCTCCTGTCGAGAGAGCCATCTCGGCGCCGGTCTCATGTGCCGCTATAGTAGACGCGGTGTTTCGACTTCCGATGTAGAAAGACATTTCTTATACCAAGGTCGAGGTGAGGCCTGAACTGACTTCCCAAAGGTGTGTTTGATTTCCTTCGGGTCGCATTCGTACTTCTTCTAACGCCTTCCTCGCTCACTCACGGGCAGTTTGGTTAGTAAGACGTATAAAGCTTCGTATTGGCATTACATGGACATGGAAGAAACTTCACGAATCCGCGGAAGAGTGTAGTCACTGGAGAGAACAAATTCACACAGACGGGCAGCGAGGAGAAACGGTTCAAGACGAGGTCGGCATGGGATAAAACAAAACAACACAAATCAAAATTCTCATACCCAACCCTAAACACTTACAAGCCATGCAATGCCTGGATAATAATCTCGGAATGCGTCATCTCGAGTCCCAAATCTGCTGCTGGAATGCGTTGCTATCAGCATCAGGCGCGTTGCGTGGGCCGTAGAGAGCAAGTTGCATTCCAAGCAAACCCATCCCTGGCTGACGAGACAAAGACATTTGGCCGTGGGCGGGAGGAATAACTAGTCATAACGCATGCATTCTACAGCTAATTACGGTCAAATTTAAGATTGAGATAGACTGCGATTGATTTCGTCCTACTGCCAGACCTAGAATAGCTATATAGGCAAGCTACTTGCACAAACCGAGCTCAAGCGACAGGAATTACCAAAATACTGCAATAGAAAACACGACACAATGTCGAGAACACGATGAACGAACTACTCAAGAACACATATGGTGGACTGATTCATTTCATTGTCTTGAGATGGCTCATCGATGGGTATAAAACTCAAGGCTAAGGGACATTGAAAAGATCTCTTGCCAGAAGAGATGCATCCCGAAAATGCAACGAGTACCTTCAATACGCCAGCTTGTATGCTTCAAATCAGACCATTTAGACCCACTGCCCCTACAGTCGGATCGCTGAACGCCGAAATATGAACCCCATATGCAATATCACTTTTCAGTCAGGCATGAAGTATGCATCGGGTGGTGAAATTTAATGCAATCGTATTTGCGTCAATGCCTTCCATTCTAACTCATCGCATATGTTCTGCTTTTCCACAAGGAACCTCCACAACGTGTTTAAAAAAAAGTCTCTGGGTGAAATCGGATCAGACCCTGAAACATGATGCAAAAAATCATCGCCGGTCCATATTGGCGAACAAGTATTTCCACCGAAACGAATAAAAAAGAACGCGTAGCTTTGTTAATCTTTAAGTCCTCCGAGCATGGTGTCCGTGCTGTAAGGCATGTCTGCCATAGAATCTTCGTGGCTTCACCGCCGGGGATTCGACTGTTACGGTCGTGATAGACTCCTCCGTTACATATACAACGGGCTCTTTCCAGATCACAACTTCGACTTGGGAACCGCGCGTAATGGTCTGGGTGCTAACCACTTCGTATGACACACCAGGGTCCGAAGTAACTGCTGGGGCGGGAGTGGTCGTTGGCGGAGTAGGTAGAGGCGTACTCGAAGAGGGCGTCTCGGCCGGCGGCACTGCAAGGGCACCGAAATTCTGAGATACCGGAACCGATTCGACAGATGCACTAGATGAGGTAACAGCTGGGATGCTAGAGGACGTAGTAGACGACGAGGCGCTACCAAAGAAACCACCAAGTAAGCTGGTTGCGGCGGAAATGATAGGATTGGCATCGCCAGCACCGGGGGTGGCAGACTGCGGACCAGCCTGGACCTGGATGTTACCGGGGAGGTTTGCAAGGTTGCGAGCAGAACCATCTTCCTGGGCTAGCATTGGCGGAACATCGAATTCACAAGAATTTTGTTCTTCGTCAGTTTGGAGAGGTCCGTTGTTCATAAAGAGTGGGCAGTCCCGAATGTTGCCGGATGCGTTCGTGCAGGTGTCAATAGCTTCCTGCAAGAAGTCAACGTCCCAGCCAGTCATGAAATCGCCATGATAGCCAAATCCTTCCAAACATATTAGTATTTTACGATACAAGCTTCGAGTTTGTCTGCTTACCTGTTGGGTCACCGTTGGAAACGACAAATTCTCCATTGCGGCCCTTGAACTGTTTGTTGTCGGTATCCCAGATAGTCTCGTAGAATAGAGTAACTAATCGTTTCGGATGGGACTCGGGGCAGTCACCATTTCCAACCAAGTTGGGATACGCCAAATGGCTCTTGTGGTCCGCAGCTGTGATATCACCGTTCCAGCATGATGGGAACATCAATTCGATGCGGAGACCATCAGGGCAGTTTGCGTCGAGGAAATCCTTGTCGGGTAAGTAGTGACGGAGTAGCGAACCTTCGGGCTCCTTCTTGTAATCCAAGCAATTGTATCCGATTGCTCGTTGCTCGAGGTCATTCTGGCTAGTTTGCTTGAGAGCAGCCCAGTCAGACTGAGGAGGGTCAGGTGACTTTGGATCCCCGACAGTATAGTCTCGTCGATAGTTGCTTCCAGCGACCACCTGGAATCCGGGCGGGAAAGCCGTAACGTTATCTCCCCGCAGAAGATAGTACCTATTCTTCATATTAGCTTCAACATCAGGCGCTCGGCATCATGAAAAATAGGTAACCGATATAGGGGTTGGTTGATATGGTATGGGTAGCCCATGACATAATACACCCAAAATATATAAAATAATACGACCTAAATAACCAGACTTTGTGGCAGCAGGTAGAACGACGAAACAAACACTAGGACTTACGCAAGCATCCCTCCAACCTGGGGAACGATCTCAAACTGTTTAGTCTCGCTATCTTGGAAGTAGAGCGCAGGGGTCCAATATGCCGACTTGTCTTGCTTCACGGCACACGAGCTGCAGCTCCCCTGCACAAGGTCATCGTAAGTAGAGCTGAGCGAAAACCCTATAGGAATTGTCAATAAAGATCCCTCATGTCCAACATGCAAGACAGGTAGGCAGGCGCATTAGCAAATATAACAGGAGCATACCAGAAGAGCCGTGGACGGTATGGATATGAGGAGATACCACGCCAGCATCCATAATCGGATCAATACGAGCTAGACCTGTGCGGCCATGACACTCCATGCGCCAGAAAGCTGACACATCTCCAAAGGTGCTTAGGAGGAAGAAGGCAGAGAAAACCTTAGAAGCCATTTTGCAATCGTTAGATTCAACTTGAAGATTTGTCGATTTGATCAAAATGTTCTGCGCGAAGTCGTTATTTGACTAAGGGTTGTTCTTGTAATTGTTTTTTTTTGTCGGGTTGCAAGAAAAAGTGTAGCCGGCTCACAATCTCGTTGCTTGATTTAGTGATTTGTTGGTCGCTAGGCACCAAAGCGCAAACAGTCAGATGAGTGTAAGTTCAGTAGTTCAGCTGTGACTGCTCGGATGGTTCAGTCTCAACGTTCAGTTACTGCCAATACGGATAATTCACTGGCGGGGGCCGAGGAACTGGCGCCCTTTTGCTGCAGTATACTGAATTCCCGAAAGGCACACCCAAGGCCGCCGATGCTATCGCCAATTCCTTCCACCTCGGTTCCCCCAATTCACTATTTTTGCCAAATACACACTTGCTATCCAGAGCAATCAGAACTTCAACCCTTGTAATCGGTAAGTATCTGATTGGCCTGTGCGTAACTTAAGCCAAGTGGCGTAAAATGAATCCGAGGGTTGATATCGAGTAATCCAGATGCAGGGAACGGCAGTTTCCGAAGGTGACTACCTAAATGCCTTTTTCGCCTCCAAATTCAGGGCCGCGCGATGCCAAACGGAACAAATGTTTGCTTGATTTTTTAGAGTCGAAATGAATGCGATCAACACAAGAAAAGAGTGTGATGATGCCAATAATCTAGATGGAGATCTAGACTACTGTGAATATTGGTAAAGAGCGTGGGTGACGTTAACCGTCGGGAGTTATAATGAACGAAATGCTTTGGTGGTGATGAGGGTGAAGTCCCAAGAGGAGCAGAACGAAAGACGAGAAGAAGGGCGGCGAAGGCAAAGAGGATATTGAAAATAGCGGCGCGTAGAAAGGGCAAAGGGTAAAGGAGTAGGAGGGTAGGTGGGGATTGGCGGATAAGGAGGTGTTGGGCATCGTGAGACAGTACGGGGTAGGTACTATCCGGTACATAGATACATCCAAAAAGGGAAATAGAGAGGCCAGTCGCACTTACCATCAGGTACCTTGTGCACCTCCTTTTACTTAGGGGGTACATATGTACGTAAGCATTTCTACACATATCAGATCACAATGGCTTGTACAATCACATATGCGCACAGTTATTAGCATCTATGTTGCACCTATTTTGTATACAGTAGCATCATATTCGTCCTGCGCATTTCCCAAAAGCCGCTGAAAGCTGACTTGATAACGTTCTCGTGGTTGCGCAAAGAAGGGTTTTTTTTTTTTTTTGCTGATCTTGGCAAAAATGACAGGCTTGGTTCTAGGAAACCCTGTAGGATCGTCATTCCTACCTAAAGAAGATTAAGCAGCTTTACCAGGTAGGTACCAGAGAAGCTAGATTAGGCCAGATCGCGAGGCGTATGTACACTACTGACCACTGATGATATGTCATCAAGGGGCTCTTTCTTAATAACGCTTCATTGGCCGGAGATATTCAGGGACAAGAGCGAAGGGGTGACACCCTAGCCTGTTCCACGCAGGTACAGATCCCGTTTCTCCAATTTCCAAGCGACAGCGCAAGATGCGGTTGCAGCCGAACGATGTACCTACGTACCTAATATATAGATCAATCACCTGGGCACTTATTCCGTATGTACACAGATAAAGAAACTACATCGCAGAGAACGGCACAGCGAGATGGATTTAGCCAAAAATAACTGCACCTCGTAAAATATCTCTATTTTCTCTTCTGAGGCGTAACTCTAATCGATTATAAAATACGGAATAGTAGGTCCATAGTTCTTTACCGAGTGTTTGCTTAGGCATCGCTATCGGGGTCTGCACGAAGCCGTCCACGGTCCTCCATAATAGGCGGTCTGCCAAATCACCATGGCGTCTGATCTCCTTGTAGCTAGTAATATTATTAGGAAATTTCTCATTACAGTATTGAGAACCCTTGAGGCATGTGCTTGCTTGATAGTGGATGCAGTATGCGCATTAATCGCTCATCCAAGCTTCATGGTCTATCCACATACTGATAATTAAACTTACCGATTAAACTCGCTTCTCAGCACTGCTTGCTTCTAATCTCATCGCCGGATACAAATAAGATTCTCGCTTCACGTCAGGAATGACATGTACCTCATATGAAGTAAATACGCCTACATAGTCCATACAAGTAGTCGAATGCACAAGATGGGTGATATGGTGTGTTCTATGATTCATTTCCATAAGCTCAAGGACCTCTTGCCCGGAGTACTGCAAAGAATAGCTAGTACGACTTACTATGTATGATAAATGATCTTTTTTTTTTTTTTTTGGCGATTGCTTATCAGGTACACCAATGACATTGGCCCGACGTAAAGCAGGGACAGAGAAGGGAACATCTAGGTTCCTGAAACAAGTTTCAGCCCCTAGCATATAAGGTTAGCCAATCAAAGCGAACATTTGATCTAATGATTACTCGGTTGGGAATGTAGATTAAGGACCATAGTCAAAAATTCCTTAGCTGAAGCTAGAATCACTAGTACGTAAGAACCCTTCAACATAATCACAAAATTCGGCTTGAATCGTAATTGGTGCAAGCAAGGTTTGCCAGGTAAAGTCGCACAAGGCATCCAGGCTGTCAGGTCACGGACGAAAAAGATGACGAAATGATCTACCCGCCGGAATTTCTTTAAGTACAAGGCGCGTACTATCATTGGTCCTTCTCGCAAATGCTACTAATTCAGCTCATCACAATTAAAGCTGAAGAAGGGTATGGAAGTCCACAGATGTACCTAGATACCTATTCCTTCTCTCAATCCTATTAAATATCATATATCTTTACCTAGGTAAGAGGTAATTATGTCTATAATCCTCTCGGTGCCAGTTGTTAAACCATTCTCATTGATAACATGTAGTTTCTCCCCTAGATGAGGTGATACAGGTAGGTGCCCCTTTATGATCTTACCTGCCACATGGATCACGTAGATATTCTAACGCTATCAATTCTACCGCGAAACCCTTCAATTTAGGGATATTTCTCCTATACTGAATTTGGCTCTTATGCGGAAAAGGGGGATCGACACCATGGAAATCCTAAGCTACCTAAGTATGGATTAGTTAATATGAAACAACAGAACACGGTTAATACTACCAACCCAGTGATTTTAGGATAGCGCCAGTAATTTACAGAGTCGCAATAAATGTATCCTAGAGTCATGATTTTATAGAAAGTCGAGAATTACATCATAACACTAACATATTATGCAAGTGCAAATGGGTAAGGTGAGGTAAGGAAAGGGAATCTAAGAAAGAGGAGGTACCAATGCGACATTGATTACCTAATGTGATGGATGTAATGTAATAGATAACAAGCCACACTTCGTGATCCACCACCTCCAAGCACCAGCCACATTTTAACCAAACCATTAGGTAACGTTGGAACAATTCGAATGCGACAGCTGATGCAGATAGTTCCTATGAACATCGTGACCGTTAGAGGCGCAACCTAATCGCAACCTAATCATGTGGTGTCCTTGATATAACGATATTTCTATTCCTTCTGCGCGACCATGGACGATCTCTCCGGCCTTAATTGGTCTTCGACCAACCCGAACAAAGAGGCCAACAAGTCTCCCCCTATGAATCCCATGAACCCACCTTCTTTCTATTCTACTCTACGCCCGACGCCATCCCCCCAGCCCTCCGGCCGAACCACGCCTCTCTCTACCCAAGGTTCCGGCTTCGCTGCCCCGAAACCACAAACCGGCAAACCGGCGACCGATAGCTTTAGTGGTCTCGTGAGCTTTGGGGGCGCCAAGAGCAACGCCAACCTAAGCCTCCGAGAGCGGCAAGAACAACTAGAAGCTCAAAGGCGTCATAAAGAAGAGGAGGACAGACGAAAATTACAATCACAGTATGGTGGCGGTCAATTTTGGGACAATATTGGGCAGGGCTCTACGCCTGCGTCCCGAACCATTTCCCCGGCTATCCCATCACCATCAGTCGGTAGCGGGATAGGGAGTCAAATTGGACAGAAGAATGACGATGACGACGACCTTTTTGCTGCATTCAATAGAGATACAAAAGTTGACAATGCCAGCCATTTTCCTCCCCCCGAGCAACAATTATCTGGAAAGAGTACCCCAGCCAATACCGCTCAGCTCGACTTAACTAACGCCAGCGCGTGGAATAAGCCTATGGCTTCGAGTGGAGGCGAGCTTGGTGATGACGATGACCCCTTCGGCTTGAACCAGATGAAGAAACAACCACAGCAACAACCATTGGTTAATGACGACGAAGATGACGATTTCCTAGGAGATCTTGGGAAACCCGTAGACGAGGTACGGCGCAAAATCCAAGCTATCCAACCAAAGCCAGAACCAGGTCGACCTATCGAGGCCACGGACTCGGACTCCGAGCCCGAAATGCCTCCAAGGGGAGCTAGTTCTGACCCATTTGACAAGGCGGTTGCGGAATTGGTTGATATGGGTTTCACAGCTGAGAATGCAAGGCGAGGTTTAACGGAAAGCGGGGCAGGCTTGAATGTCCAAGCAGCTGTTGGGTGGCTCCTGGACGATGCACATAGGCAAGCTCGTAATAACCAGTCTCCTGCGGAACCCGCTCCTGAACGAATTAGGAGGGACGATAACCGTTCTAGAAATCATGGCAATCCCGCGTGGATGAGTGGAGACCACACAGGTGATCCTCCTTCACGGAGAGATAATCGGTCGCCTGTTTCTGGGGACGACTTCTCAAAAAGGGCCGCGGCAGTAGGCTCCAGTTTCTTCAAAACGGCTAATTCCCTTTGGAAGAGTGGACAGAAGCAGGTCCAAAAGGCAGTTGCTGATTTCCAGCAAGAGGGTGGCGATCCCAGCCAACCAAAATGGATGCGTTCAGCCCATTTAGATCAGTCATATGCAGGAAAGCGTGAGTCTCAGAATACCACAGACGAAGCTTTAATGCTAGAATCTGGTGCACGGCCAGAGAGACACTCGTCCAGGCCTACTCAAAGTCTGCGTAGTGAACCGAGAGACCAATCCCCGGC